CCACTCCGTCTGGCCTCCCGTGTTCTGACGGGGCCACTTCAAATGAGGTGCCAGGCGAGATTTCAATCAGTAGCCAGCGCAGCACCAAGTTTGGAGTCGGCCTGCTCTGCACTATATCAACACATCTCCTCTTTTTTTCCAAATCTGAACCTAGACTGCTTGGCTGTGTCCGCACCCGAGTTCAAAACAGGGACATTTTTCTCTTCATTGACAAATCATCAATGGGCGATTTTTCCAAAAAGTTCTGTGTGTTTTTTGGCTTTGGGCTGCGTCAGAGCATAGACCACATCCTCTCTCCGATTGCGTTCCCAGCCAGCTTTGCCCTGTCAGTTATTCTAGCTGTGGTTAGTGTTGGGAGCGCGTTCAAATCTGGTTTCTCGTCTATAAAAACATTACGGCAGCTGTTTTCGGTGCCCAGCCATGGGGGTATTGTTGTGCCATAGTTTTGGTGTGAAATGCCCTTGTTGTTTAATACAAAATGTTCTGTTGTGGTCTGTGGAATGAGAGGCTGCTAATCTCGTCAGAATTTTGTTTTTGAGCCTGAGCTGTGTAACCGAGGCCCCCTATAGGCAAAGCTTAATTAAGTTTCCCTCTTTAAGGACACATGCGTCCAGTCTGCCTTCATCTACACAGTCAGGGTTGGACTGGATATTAGCCAATGGATGTAATGTTCCGGGTGTTCAGAAATGTACTGTCCCAACTAAAATAATACAAATAACAAGACAGTGAAGTTCCAAATTTGCTTTCATTCATATTAATTAAAAGCCACAATATGCAACCTTTTAGCCTTTTTTTTTTTAACCTGACTCATGTGGCCTGGAGGAGTGCTTTCTCACTAGTTTCTGCAGAAATGTTGTTCCCTTGGCTATATAGAAAGTTATGTGCTGAACCTTTAATAGATCAGTACAATCTTTTAACAAAAATGTATTGAAGATTGAAGATGCAGAAGTCACAGTATCTAATTTCTGAGCTAGTATGCAGTGGACCAAAGTTATTCCTTATACATTCAGAGTATTTTAATTTTTCACCGTGGTGAGTTTATAAGCACTTTGCACAACTCTGACCGCAGACTGGAGTTTTACCATCAGGATAAGGCTAACAAGAACTAGCATGATAGTCCAATGAGGTTCATTTGGTATTCTGATAATTTATATTATTGGCTTCTTTTTTCAGACCAAGAATTTGTTTTCATACCTGATAGTTTGGACTGCTCACTAGTGGTCTTCTTCAGAGTGGTCACGTGATGTTGCTGTGATGTGTCCGGTCAGTTAATTTATACAGGTTTTGCATTTCTGCGTTTCGATTGCCTCTTTAATCCAGAGACGATGTTTGTTGTCCTCTGTCCCAATGATGTTTGCTCCGTTCCAGTCCATAATATGGTTTTCCCTTTTACAGTGGTCAGAAGGTAGGAAGACAGCGCAAAAACCTGTATAAATCAGCTGACCAGACACATCACAGCAACATTATATGTTATATATCTCTGAGCAAAACTCTCAGGTATGAAAACTCTTAGTCTGAAAAAATTACCTAATAACTAAATAGGGATGTGACAATAACTGAAATATCGGGATATCATATAATCAATAATCTCGCAATAATATCGTGGACCATCACAATACATTGAATTATATGTCTCTTTGCTTAAATTAAGAGTTATGGTGCAGCAATAACTAAAAAAAAGAGGGAACTACATAGACCATGATCCTTTGCTCCATTTCAGTGTAGACTACAAAAAAAAACGTTCTAAGCACTTTTAAGTCTTCTTTGGATTAAGTCATGTCAAGGAATTTTAAGAGGAAAATGTAACATATTAACAGTTTTGTTAGACTCTACAAAATGTCGCAATAAATATACCGTGAGATGTATATCAAGAAAATATCGTACCGAGGGATTTGGATATTGTTACATCCCAAATTGTGAGCCTCTGCACCATGTCGTGAGCTTTCCCATGATATTGCAATAAATATCGAATTGTGAGACTTGGATATCGTTACACCCCTACTAATAACACAATAACTCTGCAAGCTAATGTGCACTTCCTGATCATCTGACAATAAAACATTTTCTACAGTACGGTATATGGGGCAAGACACATTTTGCACAGATACATGGGAACAATCAGGTACAGGGCCTTTAAAGCCATAGAAAAACCCATAGGAAATGCCGGCGCAGTGTATTTTCCATGTATCCCGTGATCCCTCCTTATGACAAAACCAATTCCATGACTTCTCCAATTACATTAGTACAACTATAGCCACAGTGTTTTCCACTATACGAGCCCTCTATGCATTTCCCCATAGTGTACCTTCAGGGGGGCTGTTGGATATTGTTGAATTCATTTTCCATATTGTGTCCAGACATTCCAGAGGTGCACGGGAGCCCCTAGTCTAATAAAACCTTTTCCTCCGCTTTGCCTCACGCTTATGAACACACGCAGTAGTAGTAGCAGCAGTAGTCGTAGCAGATGTAGTAGCTGGGTCTATAGGAAGTACACGCTGTTCCTATGCAGGCCTACGGGGCTCAGAATCACTCTATAACTTTAATGGGGGTAAATTAGTGAGGAGATTATTGAGCGGAGTCTTCCCTTTGAAAGCCTGGAGCGGTGAGACAGAGGCAGCACAACAGCTAAAAGGTTTGAGTTTTATAGAATTTCCATTTGCAAATACAAACCTAAAACCCAATTGCAAAAGAAAAGGTCTATTTTTCATTTTGTAGAAGTTATATGCAGATTGGACACATGTGACAGATATGACATTCGAAATATACGTGGAGTTTTGTTTCGATACATGTTTGAGTAATTATTGAGTATTATTAGTCTGTCTACATCTCCAAAGCTCAAAATACTCTTTTCTACCTTGTGATGTCATGCAGTGGTCATTTTTTTTTTAAGTTAACAGCTACCTTTTATCTTTAGTTCAATGGAGATCGTCAATTCCAGGGCTTAGATTATCGAAATGACTCAAGCAAAGGTGAATGGAGTTTAAAAGCGCAGTGGAGCACCTCCTGTATTAACACATGACATCGCAAGCTAGAACAGAGTGTTTTCCGTGAGAGAAAAAATGCAGGGTTTTTGTGTTAAACATGTGTGAGTGAAACAAAACACAACTTGAAGTATGTTTGTGATGAGGAAACAACATTACAACATATAAAAGTGTAATAGAGGCCCATTAACAAGGGCCAAAATGTGTCTAAATTGTTATGATTAGACTAATAAAAAATAAATTACAACATTTTTTATCTTGTTAAGCTGCCAGAAAAATCCCTGCCTCATGTGTAAACTGTCTCTGCAATTTGGATGGCATTTTCTATATTGATGATATAGGTCAGGGTGTTCAGCTACTTCCTACAGTGTTGTACTTTTTTTCTCTGCCACTTAACTGATGTAAAACTATGATAAATATTCACCACAGGTACTATGTTACTATCCCACCAAACCAACTCAGAATAAGAAAAACATGCACTTTAAGATGTAAAACATCAGTCTATATGGCCATTCATCTTGTAAGAGGGTCAACGTTTGTGCTTATATAGCATATAAGTATTTTGGTGACTTCTGGTGGTAAAAGCGTGCACTGCGTTTCTATACATCTCAACTGCTGCTTTCAGACATTCAAACAGAATTGTACTATAGTCTAGGGCAGGGATCTCCAACCTTTTGTATCCAGTGAGGTACCTTTAGAAAACGAAAATGTTAGAAAGCTACGCATTTTTAGCAATTGCAAGAAATTGAGTTGATATATGAGGGTAAGCCTTATATCTTGTACAGTTAGATGCTTTTAAAACATAAAACCATTATCCTTTTATTAGTGCACAAAGTTCAAAATAACACATTTACAGTGGTTACAATTCCAAATTAATCAAATTTGAGTTATTCAATATAATACGTAATTCAGAAATCCTTTTGCAAGCTACTTATAATGGGATGGAGATCTACTGGTAGTTCCTGAGCTATAGGTTGGAGACCCCAGCTCTAGGGTGGTAACTTTTCTGGTGGACCATCTACCATCTGCTTGTGTCTCTGGAATGCTCCACAATATGGCATTAAACTTATCTATTTTGTGTTTATTCAACTATCTCTGTGGACAATGTTTGAGGTTTTCATTGAGTCATGCTGTGGAACATTACAGGAAAAGCATGTTCATGAAGTGACAGACCCTCCACCAGAAAAGTTACATGCATTTTCAAAGGAACTGTACGCAAGATTTTGATAAAACAATTTCATGAACGTTACTTATGTGTGTCTCCCCAGATGAGTTAAACATGTTCAACTCAAATATAGTTTTTAAATATTGTACATGAGTGTTGTTTGTTATAATTTTGGTGTTTTCGGGTTTTCGGGATAATTATCCAATTAGAAAGCAGCATGAGCCTCACATGAGTCTCTCATTTGGGTTGCCAGTTTCAATGCTGAAATCCAGTTGGTTTAAACCTAAAGGGATTCTCTCTGATCTGAATCGTCTCTATGTAGTCTGGCAACAAAGGTTCTGTTATGATTGTAGTACGTTTTGTTGTACTACGTAACTTAACTTTTTGGTTGGGAGTCCGTCACCCGCTTGTTTCTATGGAGATGTCATTGCTCTGCCTTGAATGTCCCACAGTGTGACATTAAACAGCTCTACTTTACATTTATTCAATTACAAGTGGTTTTATAGCTCAAAAAATACCTAGACAAACAGGCATTCGGACATAAGCGTGGTCGCCTCTCCACAGATCTGACCATACTGTGAAACATTCCAGACAAAGAAATAACATCGCTGCGGATAAAAGCATTTGACGAACTTTCCACCAGGAAAAGTTACACAATGCACCTTTGAATCAGTATGAGTGCAGGCGTACCGTTCCTTTAATGACAACATGATTTAGCAGACTAATTCTCTACAGAACATTTTTGACAGGGCAGCCACAGACTTGCTAACAAATGGAAACCCAAACTCTAATTCAATTTCCTGTAATCCATTCCATACTTTTCCATACCAGCCTTCTTCCAGCACTTGTGTTACCTGTGAGGAGTCCAAAGAACTTCTTGCATCGCGCGCTGTCCCTCACCAGCAGAGTGTAGGCTGCCGCCCCCTCCCCGAACTCCATGTGCATGCACTGAGAGCCCAGCCCCACCTCCAGGTAACTCAGCTCCAGGATGAGCTGACTGTCCCGCTTCACCAGCCAGTCCGACAGCTGGCCCCTGCTGGAAAAACGGAAACAACAACAAAAACAAAATCAGTGGCTATAGTATGTTTACAGGCGCATCAAAAATCTGCAATCTGATTTCTGGAGTGATTAGAAATGTTATGGAAACAATTCAGATTTTTGGACAGATAATGGAATTATGGTAGTGAGAGAGGGTTACAATCATGGAATGTGGTAAATTGGTGATCCAAACAATCTATTTCAAAAAATGAAATACATTTGACCAACTGCATGTGATGTTTATAGTTTGTTTTACCCATACTGTTGATGTATTTCAACAGGATAATTAAAAAAAAAAACATGTTTTTAGAGGAACAGGGAGTATTACATGCGAATATTACAATGAAATTGCAAGAAAACAACCAACCGAGTCATTTTTAACCCACTTATGCATCTAAGGGTTAATGTGGGTAGGTCTTACAGCTTTGTAACTAGCACCATTTGATTCCCTAACCCTGAAAATGTGGGTTTAGTAGTTAAAAATCAACATTTCAACTTATTCAGAGGCCGAGATATTTCAAAAAGAGTTTTTTGGCAGCCTTTTTTTATTTTATTTAATATGGCTGCCATACAGACATGTGGGCAAATGCAAACATTGATTTTCTGACTCCAGATATTATAACTTTTCCAAAAAATATATAGCTTAGCAAATCCCCCAAAAATTCCCACAAAAGTATATAAGGAACCTGACTATACATTGAAACTACTCTGGAGCTAACATATTGCAACAGTAGTTTCATTGTATTTAGCTCCTCCCTTTAGGCAGATGTGCAGTGTACACCAGCATCTGACCAGAACTGAAGAATCAGCTTGGATGAGCTGCAAAATGTCTTCAATCATAAACTTTTGTCCAGTTGACAGAAATGAATTTCTCCTTGCTATCACTTTTTTCACTATTTAACTGTATGGTGCTTTAATATGATTATGCACTGCGCCTATAGTTTTTTGGCAATTCAAGTGCAAACTGGGTAAATCTGCGGCTTTTTGGTCAAAAACATAAATGTAAGTGTGTGCTGCCTGCAATTTCAAGTAGCTGTTGACATCACTCAACACTCCCCTTATTCCAGCCAGGTGTTTGCAGCAGGGGTGGAGTTTGAAGTGTGTTAAACCAATCACAATGTTGCAAAGGAAAAATTCAATTTCACACTGTTCCTTAAACCCACTGACCCCATCCCAAAAGAGTTATTTTAAAACTCATTGTACTTCTGTCTTCTCAAATACAATTACTCCAAAAATCTGCTGATTCACCGACAGTGACTGTTCCGTAAACACACCCAAAACCAGTTCTAAATACTGGGTTATCTGATTATCCCAGTTATCTGATTTTCGTCTCGTTCCCAATTGTAATGTACCCGCTTTACTTTTGTGGAAATCAAAACCAGATATGGAATCAGATCATGGGTATTTATTGCACAATTTGAGAGCGAGTGAAGGCGAGTGAGTGAGATTCAATGGTTTGTTGAAAATGTCGTTCCCAGAAGTGAGTTTCATTTGGTTGAGTAACTTGTCCATGAAATTATACTCAAGTAGTTTTCAGACACCATAAATTTTGCACTTACTTTATGTGGACAATATGAAATGATTTGAACATTTGTGTTTCTCGCTCTGCTCCTTCAAATATGAGTTATCAAATTTTTCTGTCTATCCTTTAAAAATACCAGATTTTGTGCATTATTTTAGTTTTTTTTTTTTCAAATGACATTGATTTAAATTTGAAATCCGATGTCACCAAGTCCTGAAAGTTACAATTACTTTTACTTGGGTGATACCTTTTTAACCCTTACTTGAGTCATTTCCTAGACCACTACTTTATATATTTTTTTATTTCAAACAGGATTTAAAAAAATGCACTGGGCAACTTTTTTGGTGGAGGGTCCACTACCTATTTGTCTCCATGAAGATGTTTTTGCTTTCCCTGGTATGACTTAAAACATTCCCATCTAGAATTTATTCATTATGGGTGTTTTTATTGCTCAAAAATACAATCATTCAAGGTATAGACACAACAATAACATTTCCATGGAGACAAGCAGGTAGCGGACCCTCAGTGCACCTTTGAGTTACTTTACTGATTCTAGAGTAAATTTTTTGGCTACTTTAGTGGAGGTCTTGTTTGCAGAGGGCTTGTTTGGAGAGTAGAAGAGGAGAGGAGGAGAGGAGCGAGCAGAAGTTGGGGGAAACATGTGGGTTGGACACTTTGAGGTCAATGTGTTCTCAAGATGTGACCCAGAAAGCTGCCCGTGTTATGTAATGCCACCCCGATCCTGCAGGGCGTGTGAGACATGGACTCTTGTATGGTGATTTTCAAATCCCAGCCAGCCACATATTACACCATGTTCTTCACACAATAGTGATGGTAAAATTAATGTTTTCTAGGAAACACGATGCAACACAATGTAACGCATCAGCTATTGGGAGCCATACTAAACCAATATCTTTTATGATAAGGCTGTAAATTCTAATTGAGATTTAATGTTTCATAAAATGTATTTATGAGAAACTTGTGCTCACTAAACTAGTCTTTTAACCTCACCAGACATTTTGTTTTATGACAAAGATCTGGGAATACCGATCTTTCTACATAATCCGCATGTTATATTGTCGAAGGAATCCTTTTATTGACATTAGTGATGTTACCTTCCAGAACTGCGGTTTGGTGAGAAAGGAAATTCTAAAGTACTAACACACTTGCTGTAAATATTCACCTTATTCGGCCCCGCCCTGTATCTAAATGCTCCTAATCTACGCTTTTTTTGTGGTGGCACTTCCAGTTAAACAGGAATCCCATTCATGTCAGTGGAGAATTTGGGAAAGTTTTGCATCTTAAATATGATATAAAGTCGGTTCGTTTGTGTAAAATGTTCAATATTCACGTGCACCAACAATAAAACACTACACTGATTCTCTGGGGAGCTTTAAAACAGCTTTATCGTCCGAAATGAACTTATTACTTTAAACAGAAAGTTACCCTTACTTAATATATTCAGTCAGAGTGCCTCGGGTTTGTACCTTGCCGACTTTTACATTTTCTGTTTAAGGACTACTGTTTTAACCCTCATAAAGCACCTGTACTGCTATTTCTTATTCTTTTAAGACCCAGTGAAGCCCTCTACCTCTTTTTCTTCATCTGAATTTATTTACTGTCAAGATTGGCAGCCCCATACAAACTAATACAACCTGAGTCATGATGGCAGCGCCCACAGCAACTTCTGGAATAAGGTGTATAGGCTGTGACCGAATGTCCACACTATTCCCTACTTGATCACGCTATTTTTAGGGGTGTCCGAATGTCCAGTTGGTGAAAAAGTAGTGCAGTCAAAATTTCCTACAATGCACCTTGAAAAGTAGTGAGCATTGGTGGTCACTAGAGCGATCAATATAGACCACGATGCACTGGGAGAGTCAAGAAAACAACAGTGTACAGCGACAGGTGTTTAACTGGACAGAACACGACTGAATGAAGCAGATACAAGCGCTGGTTTATGGCTCTGTAGACCCTGATTATGAATAAAAAACTCTAAAATAAACTGTTATGGTGTTAGCCGCTTTAGCTCCAGCTGTTAAAATAGCGATAATTTCCACATCTCAGACAAAAAGCAAATAATCCAGTCCGTTTACATGAAATCCAGCTTGACAAACTCTTGTATGATTATTAGTCCGTAAAGACTCATGTGTCAGTCGATCTGATTGTTATTTATGATAGAAATCAAGTTTTATCGCACTTTAGCAGACTTTTTTTCACCCAGGCACCAGAGTCACGTGACCTGAATGTAGTGAGCTGAGTGTCTGAAATGCTCTTTGAATAAGCACACTAAATATTACATGTAGTGAGTGAGGGGTTAGGGACTAGGATGGACAATTGGACACAGAAATAGTTTTCATTTATGCTAAAGAAGAAAATATAAATCGAAATAAAAGAGCCAGAATGAATTCAAAAGTTTACAAATACTGTTTATATTTCAACCTGGTACATCACTAGCTTTTATTTTACTTGAAACAATTTTATCTCAAATTTTAGATACCTGGCTAGCACTGTTGGCTTTAAGAGAGTGTATTTAACTTCAATGGGGTATTCACTGCTAACACGTAACATATTCAGATCACCATGTTACCTTTCATTGTCTTAAAAAGCTATATGTTTAATGTTTAATAAGTTCTGCTGCTCACCACGCTAAGTCACTCCACCTTCAAGGCAGTAACACCATCAGAGTGCACACACCTCTAATGAAACGACCGCACATCACATCAGGTTTATGAAGTTGTAGTGTATTGTTTTGTGTCACGCTTTTGTATATTTACGAGTGTGAGAGCATGAGTGATGCAGGCTTGTGGGCACAGCAGCTTTGCACAGGCTCGTACGGTCTATACAGAGGGTTCGAATAGGCCCGGGAGACATTGCTAGATCACTCAAACATGCACAGATGACATCTAAAACCTCTTCAGGCATGTTTTTAACGAGGGAACACTATGACATTGAAAGTCTTAAAAAGTTTGTATTTTGCATATTAACCCCTGTTTAACAAATGGCATATCACCAATTCAGATTTTGGGACAAGTACCAGAATTATGGTGAGTGAGTGAGTAAGTTTTCGCAAAATGGCAACAAAAATTTTTTATCTTAAAATATGAAATATGAAACCTTCTTGTTTCTATGGATATGCCATTGTTCTGCTTCAAATGTTCCACAGTATGACATTAAACAGCTCTATCTTACATTTATTCAATAGATGCATCGCGAATTTCGGACTTCCGGTCATTGTGCAGTGCATACTGGGAAGGATTTTCCGAAAAAGTGAGCATCAAACAGCCATGTTTGTTTTCCCAGTGCGATGCGTCTATTGACAAAGCCGATCTTTTCTAGTCTTTTGAACCATATTGCTTTTGTTTCTGATTCTGATATTGTTAGATTTTAGTTTTGGGATTCGGACATCATAACTGTGTGCTTGTTGGATATCCTAACAGCGGAAAACGGCTCGTTAAATGGGCTTCAGAAGTTTGCGACCTCCATAAATGCAAAAGGGAATCAGATCTGTGTGACTGCAAACCTCCATTCAAACTGTTTCCCTTCCCAACGGAATTGAAAAATAGTGAAAGGCGAACGTGATGGGCAGTATTGATCCACAGGAAGGACAAAAAAGGAAACCTCTGACTGCCTAAGAAATCATCCCGAGTTTGCAGTGAACATTTTGTATGTGGCGCGTCATCAAAGCAAAATCGTGTTTGTTAAGCAAGAGCTGCAGAAGACAAACAGGCTGAGCTTGCACATTCTTGTTCTTGTGGCTTTACAGCAACATCACGTCTTGGTCGCTTTGTAGTGGAAGGTGTTTCTTAGTGAACGGTTGGTGCCTTTCGCTTTGGCGTTGACTTTTTAAATTCGTAACCATGGTGGAGCGGGGGATTGCCTTCGCCTTTCACTATTTTTCAATTCCGTTGGGAAGGGAAACAGTTTGAACGGAGGTTTACAGTCGCACAGATTTGATTCCCTTTTGCAGTTATGAACTTCCCAAACAAATTTCTCGAGCCGTTTTCCACTGTTAGAACATCCAACAACCAAACAATTACGACATCCGAATCCCAAAACTAAAATATGAAAATATCAGAACCAGAAACAAAAGCGATATGGTTCAAAAGACTAGAAAAGACAGGCTTTGTCAATAGACGCATCTCATTGGGAAAACAAACATGGCGGTTTGATGCTCACTTTTTTGGAAAATCCTTCCTAGTATGCAATGCACAGTGACCGGAAGTCCGAAATTCATGATACATGTATTACAGGTGGTTTTATAGCTCAAAAATACCTAGAAAAACAGGCATAGTGACTGCGTGCGGGCTTGCCTCTCCAAAAATCTGACCTGTAACTTGGTTTGGTTCGGTCTCCGTGCAGATAGAAAGGTTTAATAGCATACTGTAAAACATTCCAGACAAAGTAATCACATCTCCATGGAGAATAGCGTACACAATGCAACCTTACCATGATGTAAGAAATTGTGAATAAATTACTTCGAGACATGTTTATTTGATGTGCTGTAAATAGACGCACCAAAATATTCCCACTGAGGATCCCAAAGTACAAACCCATTCCTGGGGACAATATCATGTATAAACGTGCCTCTTCCTGCCCTACTTTGTCTCATTGTGTCACTTCCACTGCATTGTGCTTACTGTATATCCGACGTGATTTCCAAGAAGTAGATCCTCAGGTTGGACACCACCAGCAGTGACGGCACCTCCCCAGGCTCTCCGAATTTGACAGCTGACATCTTTGGAGAACAAGAAAACAAGAAAAACAGCAGACGTTTAAAGTGTGTATGACAGGTTTTCATGTTTTTACAATTTCTGACGTGGTGGAAGAGTCGTCAATATTTTTCATCGTTTTACGTCAGTTAAGTGGCAGTTTGTAGGAAAAAAGTTGAGAGGAAAAATATAAAAATAAAGGAAGTAGTGTTGAGTTTTAAAACACAATTCTTCTACATATGTCATCAACACAAAAAATTCAGTGCAAAGACAATTTATACAAGGAAGACCATTTTGGCAGTTTAATTTCTTTATTTCATTCAACAAAATAACATAACTTGTACAATTTAGACAAGTTCTAGGCCTTGTTTACATAAAAGTTAACTCTACCTATGTCATATCTACTGTTTATAAATTATAACGTTACCAAAATTATTTTAAAACATAAAAAAGTCAAATCTTATATCATTGTGTTAAAGGTCCTGTATTGCACAACTGACCTCCTCAAAAAGATACCTGAAGTAACCCTTTATTATCAGTCTGTCTACATTTCCAAAGCTCAAAATGCTCTGTTCCACCATGTGATGTCATGAAGTGGTAGTTTTTAAGTTAATAGCTTCTTTTTACCTTTAGTTCAGGAGAGATTGAAAATACCAGGGCTGAAATTATACAAATGATTCTTGTGAAGTTGTATGGAGTTTAAAAACACAGTGGAGCACTTCCTGTGTTACCACATGACATCACAAGGTGGAACAGAGTGTTTTCAGTTTGAGAGAAGCCTAAATCTGCAGGGTTTGTGTGTTAAACATGTGTGAATGAAACAAAACAACCCCAGATTTGTTTGTGATGACGAAAAACATTATAACAGAGAAAATAGAAGTAATATGGGCCCTTTAACTCGGTTTTAGTGCCATATGTACTTCTAAGAACAAATATTTTGCATTCTTGTATTGTTATTGGCTTTTAAACATGCTCTTGGGTCCCTTTCCTTTGTCATTTCATGTTTTAGAACCTATAATAATAGCTACAGTATCTTCTGACAATAGACGCTTTGTTTCTATCTTATACAGGGAACTGGGGTTAGGCCGCCGTCTACAGGCAGCAGAGGGAATTACCAGTGGAAAAAAAACAACAACTAAGGTTAGCAACATTTTCCGACATGCAAACAGAAGCACGCAGCTGTAATGAACCCAGCTTAGATTCTATTGTATTTGCTTGGAACAAGAAATTCAGAAATTCTTAGAACAAGTCTAAGCGATGATTTATGGATTTAAAATAACGCACAAGGGACCTCAGGACTTTTACCTATGACGTAACAACCCTGGCAAATTATTCGAGTGCTCAGAGGGAACAAACTCGCTAAACGGGATCCATCAAACCAACACGAATGAACCTAAATATAACTCCAGGTATGTTTTTGATGAGGGAGTGATGTTATGACATGGCAAAACGTTCAAAAAAAGTCAATTTTGCATAATAAGATGACATAACAAGCAACAGGCGGAGGTTTTGAATAGCTATTTCAACATTTGGACTTGTTCTCTGGAGGTCTTGGAGAGCTGCGGAGTGGGATACATAAACAAAGCGGGTAGTCGTGAATGAACTGGACAGAAGGCAGGAACACACACATGGAGGTGGAAAAGAATGAGAGTGAATGGGATGTTACAACAGAGCAGGTTTATCACTGCGGTCTTAAAGCTGTCAGCGCAGTTCCTCTGGTTAGAATATATATGTATATAGGTACTGACAAGGATCGCTATTAACGTTTTGTCATAGTTTTGTCTGGAATGTTTCACAGTATGGCATTAAACCTTTCTATCTTCATGGAGACCAAACCAGACCAAGTTACAGGTCAGATCTGTGGAGAGGCGACCCCGCTCACAGTCAGAATGCCTGTTTTTATACATAATTTTGAGCTATAAAATCACTTGCAATTGAATTAATGTAAGGTAGAGCTGTTTAATGTCACACTGTGGAACATTCCAGGCAGAGCAATGATGTATCCATAGAAACAAGCAGGTGATGGACCCTCACCTGAAAAGTTACACAGTGCACCTTTAAAGAAAAAATTTTGGTATCTGTACTTTACTTAAGTAGATTTGAAAGTGGATACTTTTTACTTTTACTTCACTGCATTTGAAGTAAAAGTATTTGTACTTTCTACTCCATGATATTTTTAAACAGGACTGAAAAGTACAAGTATTTTTTATTATTGTCTGAGAGCAAAATATAGAAATGTAACAAAATTCAGAACAAATCTTTCTCAAAACCACTACATTCAGAGCCTTGTAAGATCTCAAAATCTGCGCAAAATACTTATACTTTTTACTCTTTAGGTACAAATTGAAACAAGTACTTAAATACATTTACTTAGGCAGGGTATTTTCATGGACGAATAAAAACAAGATCCAAATTCCTGAGAAAAAAATAAATAAATCAAATGTATAGCTCTATAGCACACCATATGAAAACTCAAAATGCAAGTTACAAATGAAGTAGGGCAAAGCAATACAATTAAAGGTGCACTGTGTAACTTTTCTGGTATGAGGGTCCAACGTTTGCTTGTCTCCATGGTGATGTGATTGTTTTGCCTGGAATTTTCCACAGTATGGTATTAAAAGATGTTTTTATCTATGAAAAATACCATGAAAAAACAGCATTCTTACAATACACTGAGACTTGTTTCTTGGCCTAGTTCATTTTTTGCTTATCTTCGTGGAGACAGGTAGTTTAATGCTTCACTGTGGAACATTCCAAAGCAATAACAGCCTTGTGGAGATGAGCAGCTGGCGGACCCTGTGTGAAAAAAGTTATGCAGTGCATCTTTCACACAAGAGACCTCCATGACTTTTACCTAAGATGTAACAATCCTGGCAAATTTAAAGTCACATGTTATTTGAATGCTCACAGGGAACAAACTTACTAAACAGAATCCACCAAACTAGCGCGAATGAACCTAAATATAACTCCAGGTATGTTTGATGAGATTAATGCTTCACTATGGAACATTCTGGACCCTCCATGAGATAAGTTACACGGTACAGCTTTAATGAAATTTTAATCGAATCAAGATCCAGTAGTTTCAAATGGTCAGAGACGAGCTTTGGTCTTGTTAGCGGAGAAGCCTACAGCCAAAAGCATGTGTGGTTTGGAGCAGACGGACGATTTTTTACCCCCATAAACAGAACTAGTCCATTTTATACAGTTTACAGAGGTCCAAACTTATTCCTGAATTTCCCTAACACCGTAATTATTCACTGCAATGAGTTTACAAGCTTCACGATGATACTAACAACTAGCATGTTAACAGCGCACTATAATTAGATGCAGACGGTGGTCGTGCTTTGACCCCAAGAGCCGCATTCGCAATACCTGCAGGACAAGAGAATTTTTGTTTTCTTACATAGGAAAATTTGGTTTGACCAGAAAATTAAGGTGGAATTCTGAAACCTGGCTTCCTAAATATGAGAAATTTGGATCCATTTTACACTTTAAAGTAAAAGTATAAACCTCCACCTTGTGATGTCATGTGGTAAAACAGGTAAAAGGTAGCTGTCAACTTGAAAACTCTCGCGTCGTGACATCACAAGGTGGAGTGTTTTGAGGTTTGGAGATGTAGACAGACTAATGATAAAGGGTTACTCAAATGTGTGAAAGAAACAAAACACAACTCCAGGTCTGTTTTTGAGGAGGTAACAACATTATAACGTGACTAAAAGCTCACAAGAGTTAATTTTGTTTACCGTATTTTTTGGATTATAAGTCGCACTTTTTTTCATGGTTTGGGTGTTTCCTGCGACTTATACTCCGGTGTGACTTATATATTAAAAATTTCACACTGACAGCTGCGAGAGGGCGCTCTAGGATGTTGTGTCAGTATCTAGTACTCCTAAACTCCTACACTTGTGATTGACTGGCGGAAAGCGGGGATGGAGAGTACAGCTACAGGGCAACCGGGCGGGTACGCCATGTAACTTTCCTGGAAGTCACTGGATGAATCGACAAAGCCTGAACTTCAATGACAATCGAAACCATCCTGTCGGGATTCAGTAAGGCCGGAATAATTCTAACTGGAACTGATGCTGAGTCTGATGACAGCTACGCAGAAGAGAAAGCGGTGCTCCGTTTACCTCATGGATCTATGGTTTATCTCTGGAGGCCGCGCAGAAGTGACGTCAAGGATGAAGAATTCAATGGATTTAGTGATTTGGAGTGAGATCGTGAGTTTGATGAACTTATGTTCTGTTGTTTATGCTATAACTATCTGAATAACTGTTACATTAACATATTAACACCTCACTCAGTCTGTTGTTCTCTGTTCTATTGTTATTACTGTAACTTGCCTTTCGAGATGAAATGTCAGTCCCTGGTCTCTGATTTTACAAAATAAATTTCCCCAAAAAGTGTGACTTATAGTCCGGTGCGACGTATATATGTTTTTGTCTTCTTCACTGCGCATTTTCTTGGCTGGTGCGATTTATACTCCGGAGCGACTTAATCCGGAAAATGCTGTGATATAGGACCTTTAAAATAAATGTAAAATGGCAAATTACTCAAATTAAGACTTTTTTTATTAGATTTTTCTCAGAATACATTTTCAAAACTAAAAAATCCAAGTTACTATATTACAAGCCAAGCAAATTATCTTGGCAAAGGAAAATCTGCAGCGTTTTTTCATCGCTCCGTGTCCCCGAAGGCGCTGGAAACTATTTGGCCTGAGTGCGTGAAAGTGAGTTATGGTTCAGCTTGAAAACGTCTGCTCCGCTCACACACAGTCACCGAAAATAACACCAACTGCAGTAAAAATACACTGAATCATTATAAAAAGTACACCCAGCTATTATTTTATTTAGTAACGTTCCGATGCTAGTCATGCTCACGGGCCCCAGACGCAAACAGAGCATTCGAGTGTGTGTGACAGATTTTGGTGATTCTTTGTTTTTTTTCTGCATAATTTGGTGGTGTTGTAAATATAAATTATAGTTTTACACCAATCGAGAAGCAATTTGTGAAGAAAAGTGGAAAAATATGCTGAAAATTACAGTTCTGTTTTAGAGAATCCCATAATGACGACATCACACTAGGGAGAATTCAATCCAAAATGTACGTACAATTTATTTTTTTTTAATTAACACATTTTTCTGATACTTTAAACATGATTTCAACAAAATAAATGTGTTTTCTTACATTTTTATTTGTGAAATAATAGTCTCTGTGCACATTAGAGGAGCTTTGGTGTAAATTGAAACCAAAAAAATGGCCAGATTGGGGAAAAAAAAGTGTAAAATGTTCTATAAAATCTTAAATATAATTGATAATTTTATCAATTATATAATAAAGGTACTGTTTTTCAGTAAAATGTGTAATCCAACCTGTCATAGGCACTTTAAACTGCTTTTAGAATATAAAAACAAAACTTCATATGCATCTGTTGTTTTGTTGAAATGCAATGTACTTATGAATAAAAAAAAATAATAAAAAAAAATATTCAAAATTACATACAAAAAATAAAAATAAAATACAAATTACATACAAAAACTTAAATAAAATAAAAAATAAAAATTACATACATAAAATAAAATAAATAAATAAAAATAAAATAAAAATAAATTGCAGGTTAAGTACTTTTGGCCACTTAAGATCTTTTTGTTCCTGCTCATGAGCTCATATGATAAAGTGTAAAGATAAGCCAAGTTTTAGAGATTGTGTTTATTTTCATACCTTGCAAAAAACGATAAATTATCTTAAAAACACATTTGTATCCATATCTACTGTACTATTATGTGTTTAGAGAATGTACCCAGACTATTTCCATATCTCAAAATGATAGGATAGGATTGTGCTCTGTTTTCATAAAGTGGTCTCTAGTGCAAAAGAATAAAAAGGTTTTGTGAAAAGATAAAGCAACATGTTTTTCTCAAAAGCCTGAAAATATTTTGCAACCCAATAACAAAGTCAGTGTTTGGTACTGAAAATAAACAGGAGCTGCTCACGAATAATGCAAATTCATTTCAATTCATTAGAAAAAGTGACATGTCTGAAGGCTTTGAAAACCCTCAAATCCCAAAACCGGGTTGCTTTTTTATTGTTTCCCATACTTAACATTATTAAAGATGCACTGTGTAACTTTCTGTTGGGCAGTCCTGCACCCGCTTGTCTCCGTGGAGATGTTTTTGCGTTGCCTTGAATGTTCCGCAGAATGGCAAAAAATTAACAAAAGTCACATTTTTTTTCAGATTTTTCATACCTTCGACAATCCTACAAAGCAATACCATCTCCACGGACACAAGCAGGTGCAGAAAAGTTACACAGTGCATCTTTAAATCCCAAAGCTAGCGTTAGGAAGTAGTTAAAGCCTGTATAATCCATAGTACAGGAGCTATAAGCGTGCAGGAACAAATGGTAGCTAACATTCCACGCTTCACCACCTCCAGTAATCCTCCACAAAAGACGTAAACAACATTTTTGACCCTGATCCAGCCAGTTTACAGTGGCTATATACATAAACATATTTCCAGCCTTGTTATAATTTACACCGAGCATTTAAATCTTACTACCACCGCTGCTATATGTACTCCAACATAACAGGAAGGCCGCTCACACATTTCTTTAATACCAAACTTTTTCTGGCTTTGATTTTCCATTAAAAATCCACGCGATACAATCTAAGGCCTTTGTTCTGCATCATTAGTGCAACAGAGCTACCGGCAGCAGTACGCCCAGCACACAAATGTATTGTAATCGCTCCATGTCTAAGCCAGCTATTAACGAAACAGTATTTGTACTGTGGGCGAAAAGGGTTTTACAAGGTGAGCTACTGGAAGTATCCTCACGGCTGGCCACAATATAAGGTACAGCTCTTCTGCAGTGCGCTTCAATCAGCCGTGGCACTGGCTCTATGCTTCTGGAGCTGGAACAGTCCGTGAAATATTTGGGTGGGCTGGTCACTAATAATAACAGTAGTCTAGCACATTCACTGTTTTATTATTAATGCACAGAGATGATAAGCAACTTCTGCAGTTGTAGAACTACAGGCATTAATCAAGTTGGTGAAGTACCTCGCCCAAGGACAAAACTGCAGTATTCACAGGTTGGAGCTGGGATCTAACTGCCAAACGTTGGGTTAATGAATGTAAGTTCAAACCACTGGGTCACTTATTTTAAGCAGCTTTATAAAAATATTCTGCAGTTAATAATATTCTAAATATTGTGAAAACCACCTTTAGATGCCCAGTCCAGTCTGATCTCTGAGGCTAAACAGGTCTGGGTCTGGTTAGTACTTGGATGGGAGACTGCTGGGAATCTGGGGATACCAGATGCCACCGTGGAGCGGTGGTGTGGAGTGGTTAGAGCGCTCATACACCAGCCTGAAGGTTGGTGGTACAAACATCTGTACAACAGTACATACTGTTATTGTGTCCTTAGGCAAGTCACTTCACCCACACACTGTGTATGTATAAAAGTGTTTTTGTGAGAGTCAGTGTAGGACAATGGATGGAAATGAGCCTGTGGCTACACTCCTGCACATTACAGCGTGTGTCTCCTGTATGTTCATTAGCATGTCCTGTCCCAGCCAAATAAACAAACAGCACCATTGTGAATATTGATCATTTAGTCATAACGATTTTGTGCAAAGCAGAGGAGAGAGGAACTCACACCCCACCTGTAACCACACTGGAACCACACTGGAACCACACTGGAACCACACTGGGGGCCATTTTATGAGCCTAAATACCTTTAAAAATGAATGTAGCTCCTCTTCCTCCTCAAAAATCTCCACGTCGAAGAAGAGTTTGAGTCGGTGGTCCACAGCATCGAAGTCCTCACAGCCCAAGTCCAGCTCATCTACAAAAGTGTACATTTTTGTCATTATTAACAATCAAATAAATCACACTCTTCAGATCATATGGGACATGAATGGTGAGCCATAGTTTCCTGGCAGCGTCGGCACTGATTCTTTGGCCCAAACCGAACGCCAGAGTGTATTTTTACAGCGCGGGGCCATAGCATTAGCCAACAGCCCCCACATTTAGAGCAATAAATCTGGCTAAAGGGTTATTTTAGCATTACTGATGAAGAGGTGCAGCTAATGCGGGCTGACAGTACGCAGACACACACAACTCTGCGACTTTCATATCCATGGGAAGAGATGTGAGTTTGAGAGAGGAGAGGTGCGAGTACAGAGAGGAGAGAGAGACACAAGACAAAACAATAGCTCAACGGGGTCAAATTGCGAGTAGTTGTGACGATCAGGCTTGGTAGAAAAACTAGTACTGCAAATGACAGCCAGGTAAAGTGTCTTGCCCAAGGATGCAATGTCAAAATGAAGAATCGATAGTAGTTCGGAGTAGTTCAAAAATGGTTCAGTTTTACCTCAAACAAAAATATTTAGATGTAGTTGAAGACCACCTAGTATTTGTTATCGTTTTACTTTTTGTTTAGTTGTACTTTTACTGTAAACAATTAAAACAACTAGGCCTTGGTGATATCGGGAAACAATTGATCACTTTTCATTCCTCACAATGATCGATATAGATTTTTAGATTCAATTTTATTTATTCCTTTCAAAAACAAAGGCTTTTAGTGTTGTAATTTTTCAAGAACATTTTGAACATGAACAATTTGGGAACACTGGGTTAGGGTCAGCGCTACAAGCAACACTGCGGAACTTTCTGGAGGTGGCATTGCATGATTGAATGGAAACAATGTTAAAACCATACTACAAAACATTCCTCACTGGAGATACCGTGGAATATAGACAAATTCACATTTCCATGGACACAATCAGGCAAAGAGCGAGAGTCAGGTTTGTGGAGATGCAAGCATAAAAACATCCATAATGCGAAAACATGTTAATTGTTTTAGTCTATTTTTTGGCAAAAAGTTACACAGAGAGGCTTTAGGAAAATAGATAAAACTTTTCTAAATCTACAATCAAAATTGTAAAATGTAATATATAATAAGAATGTAACAATAACAGAAATATTGTAATAAAAAAGTCTCACAATAATATCAGCAGCCATCACAATATATCGAATTACAAGTCTCTTTGCTTAAATTAGTACTTATGGTTATTTTAATCTCTTTCTTTGTGATTTTCATGTCTTTCGTATTCTGTAAATGTTGGAATTCGTTTGTGTATGAATTGTGCTATACAAAGAAACTTGCCTTGCCTTGCCATCGTGCTAGTCTGATTTCATTTTGTAGGAACCATCTGACCTCGGAGCATTAGGATTCGTTCGCTCGATGGAAGGCAGGTACTTTTTTTATTTAACCAATCGCTGCCATTTGGTCGTGATGTATGTAATGCACCGCTAACGGGGCTAACTAGTATATTAAGCTTTGCCCAAATCCTGTAGGAAGAAGGGCAATAACATTTTTCCCCTTGATAAAATTCACCAAGCTTTCTCTTTGTTCTGGCTTTAAATCCTCGATCTCAGGAATAGTTGTCAATACAGAATATATGGCTCTATGCTGATTGGCTGGTGCCCAAACTTGCACTTTCGGGGTTCTTGCAAACCGTTTAGTGTATTCCAATTCCTGACCTAGTTGCTGGAGATGAGATTGAATGGAGGCACTAGGTGGCGCCAGCCTAGCTACTATAGTGCAGAAATAGCTAAAAAAACAAACAAACAAGGGGAACTACATAGACCATGATCCTTTGGGGTTACAACCTGTTATAAAGCACTTATAAGTCTTAATTCTTCGTATTATAACAGTACCAAAAAAAATTGAACCAAAGGCTTTTTAAGGCACAGTTTACATTTAAGAAACACATTTTTTCTGATACTTTAAACAAGAAACAAAATAAAGGTGTTTTTTTTTTATATTTGTATTTATCAGACAATAATTTCTGTGTACATTAGATGAGTTTTGCGAGGTAATAGTTATGGTATTCCCTAGTGTGATGTCACAATTCTAAACAAGGAAGTAAAATTTAAAGGTGCACTATGCAACTTTTTGGTTGGGGTTTGTCATCTGCTCGATTCAATGGAGATGTCATTGCTCTGTCTGGAATCTTCCACAGTATGACATTAAACAGCTCTACCTTACATTTATTCAATTACCGGTGGTTTTACAGCTCAAAACCACCTAGTAAAACAGGCATTCTGACTGTGAGCGGTGTCGCCTCGCCAAAGATCTGACCTGTAACTTGGTGTGGTTTGGTCTCCGTAAAGATAGAAAGGTTTAATGTCATACTGCGAATCATTCCAGACAAAGCAATAACATCTCCACCTCAAACATTTAATGGACCTTCCAGTAGAAACGCTACACAGTGCACGTTTAAACCTAAGAAAAAAGTAGTACATTCACATAAAATATCGCAATAAATATTAAACCGTGAAATGCTTGGTGAAAATATCGTATCAAGGGATTTCAGTATCGTTACATCCCTAATATATAAGAGAATAAAACAATATCATTTCCATTGCAGCGTTGGCGATCGAATCCGACATAAATGTGCAATAACTTCATAGGAGTGCGTTCAATTTTTCAGTAAACTTTGCCCCAAATAAGACGAGACCACCAGACCTGCATCTATATTGTACTAGTGAAATACACGCAATCCATTTTCACACCATTCTCCTTACATTTAAACCCAAACACCCTAAAACCAGGCCCCCCAACCCCCCCTTTCTTGGCTGTGGTGTCTAATTAATTCAATAATCATTTCAACATTACACTTTTACACGAGAAAAAGCCGTGATCTGGCAGAACGCGGTTAGCTGGAGACGCGCCCAAACAGCAGTAAAAAATAACTGCGATTTTATTAGCGTTTACGGCCCCGATTCGGATCCTGTATTCCGTTAGCTGGCGAGCGGCATCAGATGTGGCATGTGGGATAAACAGTTTAGGTTAGCGCCATCTCCAGACAAATGCTAGCTTTGATTGACTGCGTTGGGAGTGAAGATGCTAAGCTAAGCGGGGAGGGGCAGTTGCGTTCGCCCATGCTAGCTCAGGCTACGTCTCTCTCCGCCACATCTGCCCGTAGCCTGGTCCGTTTTTAGCCAAACCGCATGCTAACAGATTGGAGTCATTACTGGAAGCGATGGGAGAGGAAAGAAAGCTGAGCGTAATCATAGGCCTCCTGCGTTCTTCCTTTTTCTGTAACTGCATGTAAACTCCACTTCTCAAAGTACCGAGAGCCTAAATCGCTCCAAATGACACTTAAAGATCCTATATATTACGCAAAATGGACTCTTGTGAGCTGTAAGTCATGCTATAATGCTGTTACCTTTTCAAAAACGTACCCGGAGCTGTGTTTTGTTTCATTCACACATGTTTTGCGAGGTAAACAGACTAATGATTAAGGAATACTCCATGTTCAAAATGTTCTGTTCCACCTTGTGATGTCATGAAGTGGTAGTTTCCAAGTTATCAGCTACTTTTTACCTTTTGCTCAGTAGAGATTGGTAGGAATATAACGATAATCCGTGTATCATTCATTCATTCGTTTTTCTAAATAAAACCGAAAATAAGAAAACGAAAAAAATTACTTTTCTCCATTATTTGTCTCCAAAACCAAAATAAAAAAACAGATAACGATTCGTTTTTTCAGTTTTCGATCTTGTGTTTAAATAAATAATGGAAAAACCGGATAAGGGCCGTTTCCTGTTTCCGTGACTGAAACTGCAATTACTGCAATTACCATTGCCGTTATCCTTTTTTTTTCATTATTCATTTAAACACAAAATCAAAAACTGAAAAAAAAAATGTTTTTTTCATTTTGGTTTTGGAGACAAAAAATGAAGAAAATAGTAAATATTTTCGTTTTCTTATTTTTAGTTTTATTTTGAAAAACGAATGAACGAATGATACACAGATTAATGATATCCAATTCTCTCGATACAATACTTTTACGATATGCGTGCCATGGTACGATATTTATTGTGATATTTTAAGGAAGCTTACAAAACTGTGAATATGCTACTTTTCTGTGAAAGTACAAATAATAAAAATTTAAAAGCACTTAATAACAGTTATTAAATCATGTAGATTGGACTAAAACAAAGCAAGGGATCATGGGTAATGTAGTTCTCTCTGTTTTTTAATTAAAGCTGCTCCATAACTATGAATTTAAGCAAAGAAATGGTCCACGATATTATTGTGAGACCTTTGAGGAGACAATATCACGATATTTCGGTTACTGTTACATCCCTTGAGTTTGGTAATTCCAGTACTGAGATCATCCAAATGATTCTAGTGAAGATGTATGGAGCTTAAAAACTCAGTGGAGCACTAACTGTATTACCGCATCACATCACAAACTGGAACAGAGTGTTTTCAGTTTGAGAGAAGAACTCTCCACGCCTAAATATGCAGGGTTTGTGTGTTAAACATGTGTGAATGAAACAAAACACAACTCCAGGTCTGGTTGTGAGGAGGAAAATACATTGTGCCATACTGTTGATCAGAAATTAGCATCATATGGGCCCTTTAATAAATCCAGAGCTTGTTTAAGATTCATCTCAAAGGAAATTCATTTAAAAATAAGTGTATCTGGACCAAGAAAATATATATTAGCCAATTATATTTGTAACCAGCTTTGCGATTTATGTTTTAAGCTAAGATTTGCGGATTTCCCACATACGACAAGACCAAATGAGCACAAACTACCAAAATGTAATAAAAATTCTTAGACATTTGTATATATTCCTGTTCAGTGTGTAAGATTAAAGCTGTACTATGTAACTTTTCTAGGTCTGCCACCTGCTTGTCTGAGGCTATGAGGCATTCAGGTATTAGTCACCATTTTCTGTAGTAATGTTTTAATATTATCATTTATTGTCTATACTTCCTACAGCAATATATCACACTTAAAATGTGTTTATCGTGACACCTACCATCAGAAGAGGCCTTCCCAGATGGGCACAGCGACACCTGGGCAGCAGGAACCTCCATTTCAGTGTAGTGGTAGCTCCCGGCCAGCTCCTCCTTGCTCTCAGTGGTGTTGGAGGGGCTGGACTGGTCCTCCTGGCTGCCCCCGATATAGAAGGAGCTGCGGGCGGTCATGAAGGTGGGGGTGGGGTCGTCGGTGGCGTTAGTTCCATTCAGTTGGAGGCTCGAGTCGGGGACATCCTCCTGTGGAACAACATGGGATGGTTACAAAATGTTCAACAAAATGGTAAATTATAGTTCCCTTTATCAAAATAGTTATGTATTTTGGGATGATGCATGAGAGGATGTTGACACATTTGAGAATCTGTTTTATGTTTTTTAGTTTAAAGCTCCTCTATTACGCAACAATTTGACTCTTGTGAACTATAAGCCTTGTGAAAATCTTCAAAAACATACCTGGAGATGTTTTGTTTTATTCACGGATGTTTGAGTAATCCAGAGTTATGAACTTTTAAATGACAAAAAAAAAAAAAATTGAGGTGATGTAGGTAATTCTGTATGGTAGTTTAGGGCCTGTAACCATTTTGTGTGTGAGGATGAGATAAAAAAAAAAAAAAAAAAACATGCACATTTAAACAAAAACTGCTGCAAGTATGCCTTTATTTTTTATTTTATTAAAGCTTATATTTATGTTTACTATTGCTATTAATTGTTTTTTGTTGCACCATATTGCCAAAGCAAGTTCCTTGTTGGTGAATTTTGACAATACCAACAATGGCAATTTTTATTTTGTTTTTACAGAATTTTTGTAGTGTCAAAAGCATCAATAATAAGTAGTGGGTAGTAATAATAAGGGAAAACTTCACAAAATACTGTATAATACATCCAGTAGCCACAATTACCCTAGGAAGATTGGTGCTTTGAGTGTCTTGCCAAAGGACACCACGACACATGAACTGACCAGAACAGGATAGTCTTGTACCTTATCAATAGAGAGGGAGTTGAGGGTTCCATCCAGGTGGTCTCCGTCCCCGTCACTGCCCGGTCCGCGAGGCTCATCGACGGGCGTGCTGCTGTAGGGGGCGCTGTGGTCGGCCAGCTGCACCACGCGGTCACTGTTACATCCTGGACACGTACTCCGGCCTGCGGACAAGACAGGACCCGGGACACTTAACCCCTTTCTAATGAAATACTAGGAAATAGTAGAAGTGGACATATGAATAATGGATGGGTACTGGCAGGACCTCAGACAGCAGTGCGTGTGCTGTGGAGGAGGCTCGTTTATGTAATGTTTTGGAGAGGAGCTCATGTTACGTAACCTTACTTCCAGCGCAGTGTTGATTTCACTGGTAAATCTTTTTTGTATATTACTAAACAGAAATCAGAAGCTCAAACAAAAATCTTGAGAAAATATTGTAGATAAAAGGTGCATTGAGTCACTTTTCTGGCAGAGGGTCCGTCAAATGCTTTTGAAGATGTTATTGCTTTGTCTGGAATGTTTCACAGTATGGTATTAATAAACCTTTCTATCTTCATGAAAACCAAACCAGACCAAGTTACAGGTCAGATCTGTGGGGAGGAGACGCCGCTCACAGTCAGAATGCCTGTTTTTCTAGGTATATTTGAACTATAAAACCACCTGTAATTCAGTAAATGTAATGTCGAGTTGTTTAATGTCATACTGTGGAACATTGCAAGTAGAGCAATGACATATTCACAGAAACAAGTAGGTGACGGACTCTCGACCAAAAAGTTACACAATGTGCCTTTAAAAAAAAAAAAAAGAGTCAACTGCATGACTCCATAGAAATCTCCATGCAAAAAGATTTTACTACCTCTCAACTACATTTGTATGGAAACAAGCAGGATAAGGCTCTCTTCCAGACCAAATCAGAATCAGGTATGTGATATTTGCCCTTTTTAACATATCACTATCGGCCTTAAATCTCCAGCACAGGCCGATATTAAGTTTTGGACAACCTGCTGCTTAAAGAATACACATAAAACTTTCATTGAACAAAGTACAAAGAGACAGCACGAAACATGACAATCCAACTCTCTTATAGGGATGCACTGATACTGATACTGGTATGGATATTGGAACCGATACAAAAAACTTTGCTGAATCGGTCATAGACTGTATAAATACAGTGGACTAAGTGAGTGTGACATCACCCATAGTGTTCAATTCCACTCAAATGAAGCTCAAGATGTTAACAGTTACAGGAACAAATTTGGAGCCAGACTCTATGTTATGAATAGGATTTTTCTGATGGACAAAATAGTGAGAAAAAAAAAAAAAAAAACAGGATCATGTAGAGCGGGTTAATAATATTTTAAGGCCATAATTTAATAATTTAAGGTTAATAATAATTTTAAGGCCAAAATGACGAGACTCACAGCAGCAGCTACAGAGAGAGGGACGGCAATATTCCACTGTAAGTCAATGGGAGCCAGGGTCAAAAGGAGCTGGAAGAATCCACATGTGAACTTCCTGTTTGGAACTTGACAGCTAGCATGTTAGCTATGTCAATTTATATATACATTCTATAGTATCGGTTCCATGACAATGGCCAAGTCGATATCCCAGTTGGGCCTTTATTTGGATGGAGTAAGTAGTACTGATATTGGCCTGGAATATCTTTAAATTGAACTTTTATTCATACTGCACTGTTCAGTAGTGATTCTGGATAAACAACAGTCACAGAACACTACTGGATCTCATGAGTAATAAGTTTTAAAGAAATAAGTGCCATTTTCTGTTTCGGAGCTGAAAAAGCTGGATCGATGCATCCCTACTCTGTTATGAATTTATGGTAAAAAAAAAAAAGAGGTCTGTGGGTGGGTTTGTAGTAAAGTGAAATTACAGAATTTGAGGAAAATAATCAATATCGACCCAACATATCAACCCAAAAATATTGGCAGAGCTCATCAGCCATTTTTGCTCTGGATTCTAAACAATCAGTTTTAGCATTGGCCATAAAAAAAAAAAACATATCGGTGGATCTCTAATATACGAGCCCACTCACAGCAAGCATGGTTGTTTTTCAGTTTTTCCGTGCAATCGAAAATGAAACAAATAAATTGGGTGTTTTTTCCAATAATTTTTACTTGTCTAATAATATTTCGATTATTATAGCTCAACAATATTTGCTCCTTTAAAACAAGACCTTGAAAGCCTCACAGACGCATTTTAAAATTCATCTCAAATCACTTTCAAAATTCTCGTTCAAGGCGGGTTTTTTTTATAATTACGCAACAGTTTATGCACCTGCCTGTTCCCTGATCCATGTGTCTGCCTGTCATCTCTTATGTCACCATGAGTACACAGCACAAGTCCTTTTTCAATACAGTTTACTCGAGGACTGAAGTTGTGAACAATGTGTTTTTGCCAGCTACACCAACCATAAACACAGACGTATCCATTTCAAAACATTTTCTGCCCATTCACGTTTAAATGACCCCAAAGCATGAATTGTTTTGCTGGTTGGCTATTGCTAGTACTTCTATTTCTTGGTATTTGTTATGTAATATCACATCACACTTCCTTAAGCTACAATGAACACCATGAATAATTCCTCATAATAGTGGTCTCTGTAGACCAGGTGTCAAAAACTCGCATTGTGAACCTGATAAAAGACAGCTGTGTAAGTAACAGTGTCTTTAGGGCTTTGCAAAAAGGCAATACATGTTCAAAAATAAAATACTTTTTTATTTGGTTAAAAGTATCTATAAGGCTGAAACAATGAAACAAAGTAATAGCTCAGTAGAAGTAGTAGTAGTAGTAGTAGTAGCAGCAGATTCAATGGCAAACAACAGAGAATCAATAATTGATGAGCCATTTAATTGTAGTAGTAGTAGTAATAGTAGTAGTCATAGTACTAGTCATAGTAGTAGTCATAGCAGTAGTAGTCATAGTAGTAGTAGTCATAGTAGTAGTAGTAGTAGTAGTAGTAGTCATAGCAGTAGTAGTCATAGTAGTAGTAGTAGTAGTAGTAGTAGTAGTAGTAGTAGTAGTAGTAGATTCAATGGCAAACAACAGAGAATCAATAAAGATGAGCCATGTTTTAGTAGTAAGTAGTAGTAGGAGTAGTAGTAGTAGTTGTAGTAGTAGAGTTAGTTTAGTAGTAGCAGTAAAGTTAGTTTTGTAGTAGCAGTAGTAGTAGTAGTAGTAGTAGTAGTAGTAGTTAGTTTTGTAGTAGCAGTAGCAGTAGTAGTAGTAGTAGTAGTAGTAGAGTTAGTTTAGTAGTAGTAGTAGTAGTAGTAGTAGTAGTAGTAGTAGTAGTAGAGTTAGTTTAGTAGTAGTAGTAGTAGTAGTAGTAGTAGTAGTAGTAGTAGTAGTAGTAGTAGTAGTAGTAGTAGTAGTAGTAGTAGTAGTAGTAGTAGTAGTAGTAGTAGTAGTAGTAGTAGTAGTAGTAGTAGTAGTAGTAGTAGTAGTAGTAGTAGTAGTAGTAGTAGTAGTAGTAGTAGTAGTAGTAGTAGTAGTAGTAGTAGTAGTAGTAGTAGTAGTAGTAGTAGTAGTAGTAGTAGTAGTAGTAGTAGTAGTAGTAGTAGTAGTAGTAGTAGTAGTAGTAGAAGTAGTAGTAGTGCTAACTTAAAATCAGCCTGGAAGAGGTACCCACGCTCTCATCTACCTCGCTTCTTCTCCAGAGTTCAGAGTTTACCTGCTCCTCAGTTTTCTATCTTGTTCACTCAAGATAACAACTCATTTCCCACTTTTTCAGAACTAGGTTCTAGCCAACCCGAATTAGTGCGGATTTAGAAGGGCAAATATAACAGCTACAGTATATGTGTATTTACATTAGTTTGCAGGCTGAAATGGGTGGGCAAGAATTTCAGTTTTTATTTCCACCCTTGTCTAGAGTTGGCCGTCTAGTGATATGACGTTTGTGAATGAGTCAGCTCCTTTGAATGGTTCCTTAATCTGAATGGTTGGAACCGGATCATTTAAAAGATTAGAATCTTTTTTCTATTTCTATGCATTTTTATACTGGTTAACACTGAACCAAAACAAGAACTGCAGAGAAGCAGAGCAGGCAACAAAAGTGAGAGCTCTGTACACAAAAAACTTGCATTTTAAAATTAGTATCACTGTAGTACAACTTGAGTAAACATACCCCACTCTCAGTTTGAACAAGTGAATCAAATCATAGTTTTGGTCATGTCTCTCAGTGATTAGTTTGTTTTCAAAGGTGCACTCTGCAACGTTCAGGTATAATTATATAGTATAAACATAATTGTCTCCATTGTCTCCATGGAGATGTCACTGCTTTGCCAGGAATATTCCGCAGCATGCCATAAAACATCTTACATTAAGTAAATGACAGATGTTTCTTGCTCAAAAATACCTTAAAAACATTCTCACTGTCAGTGTAGTTGCCTCTCCACAGATCTGATCTGGTCTTGTAGTGTCAGTTGCTTGGTTCTTTAGAAATGGATAAATTTATTGCCCTGCTGTAGAGAATTCTCCACAGAAACAAGCAGCTGGTGGACCCTACACCAGAAAAGTTACACAGTGTTCTTTGAACGGATTTGGATCCCATAAAAGAGCCAAAAGTCACATCATTAGCCCTGTTGTGCCCTCAAGATAATTATCTCATGGCTGCAATTATTATTATTTTTTTTCCTTTACGTCATCTACAGGGCTCCGTATGCCTTATCACTACTTACTACGATATATTTCTATGTGAGTACAATTATTTTGAAATAACAGTGCTCTTTTTTTGGCTACTCTATCCACCTTTACTGTTTCAGATGACATCACAACATTCTATAGGCTAAGATTAGTTAATACAGAGGGGAACAGCTAAAATGAATATTGTTAAAATGAAAATCTTTGTTGTAATTCCGTGACTTCTTGGGTCTAGTCACTAATAGAAATGATCTGGTTCAACATTTGTGAGTTTACCTTTTGGAAATTCCATGACAAAATACAATGTGATCAATAGGGAAAACTGAGTTTCGCCCCCATCTGGGAGTATGACATCACATTTTGGAATCTGAAAACCAACAATTCACACTATTATCATTATGAACAGAATTTTGACATGAGAATAAAAACAAGCAATATTTTTCTCTGGTAAACATACTAAATATTTTTCGTAATGATTTTCAGAAGTACCCATATACCAGACTAACTACGTATTTGTATATCCCAGAGGCAAACTGCAAAAATGATATATTAGCTCTGGTGTTAGCTCTGGTGTTCGCTCCATAGAATTATAATAAAATCCGAAAGGTGAACCCAAGATGATGTTGCATTGTTTTCAATGGCCTAAGCTCACTGGCGCATGGGCCCAAAAATAATTTTCTCTTCCGCATTTAATTCCTCAATACGGGCGAGCGTCTCCCACTCATGTGATGTCTGTAATGAGTACGCCATGGAGCATTTGGACCAATCAGAGCAAGAGCTGCTAGAGCGGAGCTAACGCGGGCTCAGAGCTTGGCTAGGCTAAGTCTTACAAAGCTCACTTTTAGGTGCTTTGAGGATTTAAACATTTAAAAAACTTTATGTTGTGAAAATAGAAAAGAATCCTGCAAAATCTGACCTTTGTGAAACTTGTTGATGCCCTGTTACCTGAACATGGGCAGTTTGAATTCCTCAAAAAATGCAACGTACTCTATGGGAGAATTTCCAGGAGCTGCAGTACCTGGAACAGCCACTTGTTGTTCTGTAGCTGGTGTCCCATCAATTTGAGCTACCGTCGAATTGAGCTACCTAGCATTACTGCTCATGTGCACAACCCCCAAGCGCTGTTAGAGTTTAAATACTGCCGATTTGAGCTCCCAAGGCATAAGTGGTGTAACAAGTAACATTTTAAAAGTGTACTCTTTTATTGTATGTTTTGACCAGTTAAGCAACGACATGTGTGTGTTAGATCTGCGGCAGAAAACCTACGTTAGATGACTGAATAGTTTGGATATAATATATGATTTTATCATTATCATTTTCATTAGATCATATTTTATTTTGTTTCCATGTGTAGAAAACGTTTAAAAAAGGTGCTGTATAAATACAATATCACTATATTAGAATAGGAAATTCACACTGTAGCCTATGATATTTATTGAATATAAAAGATCTCAGTGTTTCCAGTCATTTCTTTCTCTTATATAGTGGGAGCCTTATTTGACAGAAGATATCAGCCTGTGGATATGAGCTCCTCCACCAAAATTCATCTAAATGAGTGAATAATGGTGATTCTACAGTGGGAGCATTGTCCTTTCAATATGTGCTCCCTTTAGTCTGAGCCCTATGTGAGCAGAATACGACTGTCCAAATGAACTACCATATTTTCCAGGCTATTGGGCACGCTCTTCGACTTCAGAAAACTACAAAGCTACACCACCCACAGCGCACGCAAACAGGCACGGAGCAGACAATGACCGCACAGCGAAAAATACCCACAGCCACACTCATCACTCCACACGGACGAGGAATGGAACAGAGGAACAAACTGAAAAAGCGAGTGCAATGTGCCACTTCTAGCCACAACTGAGTCACTGCGAACACGCCAACAATCCAGCAGTCCCAGACAGCACCCTCCCTACACACCACAACTGAACAAAGCCAAGAGTCACTGTGAATGCGCCAAACAAAGTCCAACTGAGCCATATATTGTGTTTCGTTTAAAGTCCGGTACGGTTTATTTGTGAAAAGGTTTGAAAATAGACCATTCTATGACAGTGTCACTTATAATCCAGAACACCTAACAGTGGGGAAAATACGGTACCTACACATATTCATATAAATCAGTTGAAATTGTACATAATTAAGGTATAAAGTGTGATCACCATGTGCTAAGAGCATCAAACCCGCTGTCTCTAATCCAAAGAAATGTTGTAAAACTGGGGAGGTCCGGGTTAGGCTTTATTGGATCTATACAATTGCACACGGAAAAACGTAATGTAGCTTATTTCGACAGGGTAGTGTGAATTAATAGACATCACTGTCGATTTAGGCTGCAGGTAGTTCATTTTGACTGGGTAGCCCATTTCGACAGAACACAGGGATGGGGGGGAATGTCTTATCCAGTTCTTATTATAGATCCATGGTTAGTTCTGGTGTTAGCTACATCGCCGACATACTACCACGAGGATAAAGCCAGTGAATACCAACAACATGTGTCAAAGCTGCAGAGTGAGCACATGTGGAGACAGGTTGTAATGCAGCCCAATGGGAGGCATGGCAAAACAAGCACTGCTATCTGTACGGCTGATTATAGAGGTGGGAAAGAGCCGGCAATCTAAACCATAAAGATAAATACTGAGAAAGAGATGCTAGGTGGTGTTTTGGGAAGAGCTTGTTGGCAAAGACACAAATAAAATAATTCCTGGAAAAATTTGTTCTTGAAAAAAAAAAAAAGGATTAAGGACTAAAAGGGGTTCTGAAATCTTTCTTTCCATTTTTTTTTATTCTGGTGTAGCTGGATCTTAAATTATGTATTGTTTTATTTTTTATTTACTTTTTTTGGTCATTTTTTAATATTATTTTTAAATTAAAAATCTATAAAAAGAATAAATGTTTCTTTAAAAATACACAAAAGAAAACTGATTAAATGTATTTTTTATAATTTTTATTTTATTTTATAATGTTTTTTTATGTATGCATTTACTTCTTTTTATTTTATATTTATTTATTTATTTTGATTTTTACAATTTTATGGATAACACTTGGCACAGAATAATCAACAATAACATTTTGATTTACTAGAGATCCATCCATCCTGACTGATCCCTATATACAAGCCTTTAATTTCCATTTGGAACAAACCAAAAAAAAACAACAACTAAAAACATGTTCTAACGTGTGAGAAGCACATTTTGGGTCGAATTGTAATTCATGATTTTGAATTCACGATTCAGTTCACAGTGCGCACTTTAAACAACTCCGGGAGGGTTAACATGTGATTGATAGAAGACTGAAATGTGAACAACTAAACAAATTCAAGAATCCCAGGCAATTCAGAACATGTTTGTAGAGGTCTAAACTACGGGGTTTAGCAGCTTTTCCACAGAATAAGACTCCATGGAAACACAGGGAGGGCATCTGACGCATAGGGACATTTCAGAAGATGTTTGTAGAGGTCTTAAATACAGGGTTTGCAGCTTTTACACTGAATAACACCCCATGGAGACACAGGAAGGGCATCTGGCACACAGGAATATGTTAGAGCATGTTTGTAGCGGTCTAAACTAGGGAAGCACCAATTCAACTTTTTCATTTCCGATACCGTTTTCAATACTATAGCTTTAAGTATCTACTGAGAGCAGCATTTATTTCAAAAAACTGATCCAAAATCTGTTATGAATCTGTTATTTATCTCTCAAGTAACCACAGAGCAAATTTGCATCAATAAAAATTGAAAAACAACCAGTAAATAGCAGGAGTGTAACAATATCCAAGTCTCACCATACGATATTGTCAAGCTCATGATATGGTGGTGAGACTCACGATTAGGGATGTAACATTATCCAAATCTCTCGGTACGATATTTTCACGATATACATCTCATGGTACGATATTTATTGTGATATAAAATTCCTGAACAAGACTTAATCCACGTTCCCTCTGTCTTTTTTTTTTCCCTCTGTCTTGCTGCACCATAACTCTTAACTTAAGCAAAGAAACTTCTAATTTGATATATTGTGATGGTACACGATATTATTGTGAGAACTCTGACGATACGATATCACGATTTTTTGGTTAACACCCCTAGTAAATAGTCTCATTAAATCTGTTTATATGTTACACCAGAATATTGACTGAACCAATATTTGGGAGCAGATATCCGATCCAGCAGTTCTTTTCAGTATCAGCACTGATATCTGATGCAAGTATTGGATCGGTGCATCTCTGAATTACAGTGTTGGCAGGTTTTACATTTAAAAAGACAGAATATTTTGTTTTTATAGAGGACTTTCCATTACCTAAGTAAATCCATTATCTGCCCTTATATCAAAACATTTAATCCTCAAGTTTGTTCCCCCAAATCCTAAATACCGTGCAGAAATTTGAAATAACTTGTTTTGTATTCAAATTTCAAATCCCGTTATTGTGTTTAGCCTTGCTTTTTCCCACCGTGTCCCTGCATCCTTTTTAGAACTTGGCTTCTCCTTTTTGACGTCAATGCTCCTCGGCCATGTGAACTGGTGCCAGGTGAAACGGCGTATCCTGTGTCCTGACACGAAAACAAGGCATTTTTCATGGTTTTGGGCCCGAAAACCGTGAAAATAAACGTGCGCATAGCTGAGAGGTTTGGTGAGTGAGGTTTGAACATTACTCAGCGCCGAGGGTGGGGGGTAGCGGGTGGGGTGCAGTGAGCGGGTGGGGTGGAGTGCAGAGGCGCGGGTGCGTGGAGGGGATGACAGCTCCTGGTTTGAACCGCGACCGAAACATATCTGTGGTCCCTGTTTTTTCCGCCCGTTTTGTCTGTAAAGCTAATAAAGTGCAAATATAGCTGCTTACTAATCTGTGTGGTACTGTGCGTCACAAGTGTGTACTTCTGTAGTACTAGTACAGTGTAGCAAGTATGTAAGTAGAGTCTGAAATTTTATGTAAGTATCCAGCTGTTTTTACTTGAGTAGCAGTTTTCCAAATACTCCTACTACTACTATTAATACTACCACTATCACAAAGTGCAAAAGTAGCCGCTTGCTAATCTGTGTAGTACTGTGTGTCAAGAGTGTGTATATTTGTAGTACACTGTAGTAAGTATGTAAGTAGAATTTGAAATTTGAAAAGTATTCAGTGTGGTCTGGGTCAGATGCAGACAGGTACTTTTACTTGAGGAGCAGTTTTCCAAGTACTGCTACTACCACTACGACGAAGTGCAAATACACAAATACACTTTGTATTTGTGTGTATTTGAGTGTGTATTTTCGTAGTACATTGTAGTAAGTATGTAAGTAGAGTTTGAATTGTTATATATCCACTGTGGTCTAGGTCAGATGCAGACAGGTAGTTTTACTTGAGTAGTAGTTTTCCAAATACTGCTACTACTAATACTACTACCACTACCACAAAGTGCAAATACGGTGGCTTGCCAATCTGTGCAGTACTGTGTGTCACAAGTGTGTATTTCTGTAGTACATTATCGTAAGTATGTTAAGTAAAGTTTGAAATGTAATGTAAGTATCCAGTATGGTCTGAATTAGATGGAGACATTTAGAGATTTTACTTGAGTACCGGTAGTAGTTTTCAAAACACTCCTACTACTAGTACTACCACAAAGTGATAATAAAGCCTCTTGCCAATCTGTGTGGAATGGTGCGTCATGAGTGTGTATTTTTGTAGTACATTGTAGTAAGACTATAATTAGAATTTGAGCTCTTGTACGTAGCTGAGATATATTTGTATTAATGTATTAGTTTATTTCTATGTTTATTTTTTAAAGTTTCACTTGTACATACACATTTATATAATTGCACCTTATTTGACACCAGTCTCTTGCTATTTTTTTTTTAGAGTTTTATTATTATTTACCATTTTTCTTTTGTTATTAAGTTTTATACTCCTACTCCTACTACCACTACTTCGTACTTCTGCCTGAGTAATATTATTTTGAAGTAACAATGCTTGAGAACAAATATTGGCTACTATTCATACCTACTGTCATTTTGAGAGGATGACAGCCCCTGGTTCGAACCATGACCGAAACATATCTGTGGTCCTTGTTTTTTCCGCCTGTTTTGATTGTAAAACTAATAAAGCGCGAATATAGCTGCTTGCTAATCAGTGCGGTACGGTGAGTAGCGAGTGTGGCTTTTATACGGGTTTGTATTGCTTCAATAGGGTTCTGTTTGAAGTGTAAACAAAACGACTAACATTTGAGAGGAAACTGAAATGAACTGAGAAATGATGGCGATTATAAGTCAATTCAAGCAAAACTATAAGCTAGAAACAGCATTTTCTCTTAAATTGTGCATGTTACAGGAGTCATCTGGACATGCTACTCCTATTTATTGTTCAATAAATAAGATTATTTGATACATTTACACTATTTTAGCATGTAAGGTGTAAAGTATGGATTTCTTTTTAGCTCATACGATATGCGATTGCTGAATTGTTGTGACTGATAACCGATATTTGCTAGTACCGATATTAATCTTTTAAAATGTATAGTACAGACCAAATTTATGTTAAGTTACCATAAAGTTTACACATTAACGTATTGCCTTTGTAAAAAAATAACAAAATGTTTTTGTATCTGGAATTTAAATTCATATTTTTACTCATGGGTCTGTTCAAAAAGACAAACCTGATACTCTGAAGACAAACTGGGAATGACACTCAGGCACGCAGACTGGAGCAGTGCAGAAAAAACATGGTTGCCAAATAAAGAATAGCTTTCAATATCGGACCAATACCAATGTAGCAATGGAACAACCAAAGTATTGTGATATCATATCGTCAAAAGTCTCTCAATAATATCATGGGTCATCACAATATATCGAATTACAAGTTTCTTTGCTTAAATTCATTATTATCGTGCAGCAATAACTAAAAAACAGAGGGAACTACATCGACCATGATCCTTTGCTCCATTTTGGTGAAAACTACATGAAGAAATAACAATTCTAAGCCCTTATCTTAGTTCTTTGAATTACCTCTTGTCAAGGCATTTTAAGAGGAAAAAGTAGCATATTCACAATTTAGCTTCCACAAAATATTGCAATAAATATCGTGCCATGAGATGGATATATCTCTACTGCTACTGCTACTACTACTACTGCTACTACTACAACTACTACTGTTACCAAAAATGGGTTTACTGGGATTATCAGTGTCAGTGTCAGAAATCAGTTCCAATATTATGGTTTATCACAGTCTATCTCTGTAGCAATACATCGTGAGAGGCCTAGGGCAACTATTTATACTTATTATCATTTTGACGCACGCAATTTTGACACAAGTTATCATTGTATTTTCTCTCACACACAAAATGGAACACTTTTCTAAATATTATTCATAATGATTTTCAGAAATACCCCCATGCCAGGCTAACTATGAATTTGAATAACCCAGAGGCAAATTGCGGTTTCATAAATAATACGTTAGCTTTTGTGTTAGATACAACGCTGCTAACACAGGGACAAACGCCAGCAAATACCAACAACATTGTGTCAAAGCTGCTATCTGAGCGTGTGTGCAGACAGGTTGCAATACAGGTCCATTTATTATAGTTTATTGTAATATTTACCACTAAAATATATTGAACTTCAACATTTGTTATCGTGATAGGCCTAACTGGATGTGTTTTAAAGCAATTATCAGTGTAAATTTATTGTCTGGAAAAGGGAAGGGGGAGCAGATAACATAAGATAATTCTTCTTTCTGCTCCTTTTCATTCATTTCTGGTATGTTTAATATCAGGATGCTGTTGATGTCTTTTTATACTTTATGAAATACAGTAAATAAATACATGAATAAATAAACAAACATGGTCATTTGCAGTAAGTTAAAACTGCAAAATGTTAAATAAACTCTATAGAGGAAAAAGTGGAACACAAAATCTACTTTTTTCACGACTAAACTGTGTACATGGTGCATTGTCTACTGTTTCTTGTCATTTTGGGGGCGTAATTTTCATTCAAATTAGGTCAATTTACAGTTTGAATTTAGCTGAGATATATTTGAATGACTTTATTTCTATATTTTTTTATTTTGACTTGTACATATATACTATTGGTCAAAACACCCTAATTTTTCCAGTTATTTATTGCAATTCAAGTCGTGCAAGTCCAATGAAGAGCTTGAAATGGTACAAAGGTAAAAACTGAACAGACAGAGGTTAAAAAAAATGATAAAAGATACAAAACACAAGTCCAAGCTCTGCCAAAACTACCTTAGGAAAAAGAACAAGATGGTGAACTTGAAAACATGGAGTGTCCAGCACAGTGTCCAGACTTAAACCCAATCAAGTTGGTTGAGATGAACGGGACAGAAGAGTGAAGCAACGTACAAGTGCCACACATTTATGAGAACTTCTGGAACAGACTTGGGAAGTTTCTGAAGAACATTTTATTTCAGTTGTAAAAAGAATGCTACGAGTGTGTTCAGCTGTTATATCTGCCAAAGTTGGACACTTTCATGAATCAAAAGTTTTGGTCAACAGTAAACAACTGGAAAAAGTGTGGTGTTCTAAAACTTTTGACAGATAGTGTACATTTGTATAATTACACCTTTTTTGAAACCATTCTCTTGCTATTTTTGCAATTTAATTTTTTAGAATTTATTATTATTTACCATTTCTCTTTTTTTTATTATATTATATTGTGATGTGTGAGTTACTGTGTCCAAGTAATTTCCCTTGAGTGTAAATAAAGTTTGTCTAAGTCTAAGCTTCCCAAATTCTGGACTACTACTACCACTACTTTGTACTTCTGCTTGAGTAATAATATTTTGAAGTAACAGTGCTCTAACTTGAGTACAAATATTGGCATCTATTCATACCTGTTATCATTTTAGTGCAAAGTAGGTAAATTTGCAGCTTTCTAGTCAAAAACATATAAAAATGAGTATGGTGGCTCCAATGTCGCTGCAGTTTCAAGTACTATGTGACATCATGCAAGATTGGCTTGATTCCAGCCAGATGTTTCCGATCACAAACACCTGGCTGCACGGGTGGAGTCTGAAGTGTGGATGCCAGTCAGACCAATCGCAATGCTCCTTATACCTCTAGACCCTGCCCCTTTTGCACCACTCCACCAGGTACTTTCATTTCAGCAAGCTCTATTTGAAATATTGTGGGTGGAGTTTAGGTGTTTAGTCGCGCTTTAATACACATGATTCCCATTTGAATTCTACCTGCAGCGTCCGTACTGTCCTCTTCATCCGCCCCTCTCCTCAACCTCCTCTTCCTCTCCGTCCTCCCTCAGCACCACAGCAGACCCCAGCCTCCTCTTGCCCCTGGCGCCTAGCTCCTGGTCGCTGCCCTGATCCTGCTGATGGGAGAAGTCCAGACCGCAGCGCAGACACTGCAGACGGACATGCCCCAGATCCAGGGAGAGGCGCTGGTTCTGCTCCACCACCCCACGGAGCACCTCTGTTAAGGCCTACAACACACGCAGAGGAAACAGTCACGATAAAGGTCCTGTAGTACACAAAATTGCCTCTTGTGAGCTTTAAACCATGTTAGAATGTTGTTACCTCCGCAAAAACATACCTGAAGTTGGGTTTTGTTTCATTCACACATGTTGGAGTAATCTTGCATTATTACTCTGTCTACATCTCCAAAGCTCAAAATGTTCTATTCCACCTTGTGATGTCGTGATGCCGTAGTTTTAAAGGTAACAGTTACCTATTTACCCTGTTTAGGAGAGATAAAAAATTCTAGGCCTGAAATTATCCAATTGATTCTTATAAAGGTGTACAGAGCACTTGTATTACCACATGACATCACAAGGTGGAACAGTGTGTTTTCTGTTTTTAAATATGCAGAGTTTGTGTGTTAAACATGTGTGAATGAAACAAAACACAACTCCAGGTCTGTTTGTGATGAGGAAACTACAACACAGATATAACACAGAACAGATCAATATAACACAGAACAGATCAATATAACACAGAACAGATCAAGTAGTTTAATATGAGCCCTTTAACATTAGGGGGGCATCATGCTGGGAGGGTACTGCATGTATATCCAAGGTGGAATGTTCACCAGTTGCCAAGGTGACACAATGCACACATTAGCAAACACAGCCGGATAAGATTTAGATAAAAATTCAAGTCAAATTTGTGAAGAGGCGAGTTCACTCACAGTAAGAGTGTTGTATATTTCAGCACTAAAACACCTGTAACTGAAATAAAACAGGCCAGATGGATAGATAAATCCCAGACTAAACAATAACATCTCACAACAGCACTATGAAAATAAAATATGAAATTGAACTTTTTATACAATATGAATTTTATTAAAAATCTTTGGTAAGGGTAGTGTTATTTTGGACAAACCTTTCTTGGGTCAAGTTGCCCTGAAAGCAAAATTTTCACCGGCAAAAAATGCATAACAATTATGGCTGTAAATGTTGCCCAGATGACCCAAAAGTGAGTGAGTCAGAATTTCAGAATTCAAATATATTTTCTTTTTCCAAAAATGTGGTTTTAATTAAAGAGGGAGTATTACACCAAATCGACTTTTTGGAGCTTTCTACCATCTTATAACATTGTTCCCTAATCAAAAACATCCCTTTGAGTAATATTGCGATCTCTCTCTGGCCCTATTCAAACTCTCCTTGCGGTTCAGCAGCACGAGCCTGTGCAAGGCTCCGCCCACAATCTTACATCACCTGTAACCTGGGTGAAAATTAATTAATAATAAATAATAATTTTTAGCTCATTTTTAGCTGCCCTGTTAGTTGTTACACACCCATGCTCTCACATGACAATTATTCGTAAATATACAAAAGCCTGATACAAAACAAAACTCTACAACTTCATAAACCTGATGTGATGTGCGGTAGTTGCATTAGCAGAATGACGCTGATTGTGTTGTGATAGCGCTCTGAAGGGGGCAAACTTAGCACAGAGAGCAAAGGGGAGGGGGAACTCAGTGTCAAAAAGTAAACAGGAACTCATAAAATGTTGTTTTTTTGTTTGTTTTTTTGCCGAACATAGCGTTTTTAAAACAGAAAGAATGACCTAAATATGTTATGTGTTAGCAGTTAATACCCCATAGAAGTGTAATACCCCTCATTAATGAAATAAAAAACAAACAAAAAAGCAAGAAAGAACAAATTTATGTCTCCAAAAAGCGTATCATCATAAAAATTATCAAGACTAGGTTGAATTCTAACTGGCGAACCTGTTGACATTGTCTACGCCACAGCTGTATTTTTGTCAAGTACCAAATCCATAAAAGTGCACTTTGTAGCTTCACACTGGTAATAGTTGGAGAGAGCCATGGTTTTCATCCTGGCTAATCTTAATTCCGCTTTTATTGACGAGCACATTACATTTTTACTGGGTAGCTTGAAAAATCTGTAACCTTCCCAGAATTGCTCTCAGCCCTGCCTCTTGTTTGTCTTTGTGAAAACCTTTAAGATCTCTGTGCAAAAGCGCTTCACATTAAGGAATTGGCATGGCCACGCGTTGCCGTGTTCAAATTCTATCTGGCACGCTCCGGAAAGTTGCACAATGTGAGAAGACTACGGCTATAAAAGAGGCCATAAACATGGTACAGGCTGTTCTGCACAATGTTGACATGAGATTGGGGGAGAAGGGTCAAAGGTCAAACCGTAAAGCCCACCACGGAACATAACTATGTCCAATGGGCGATTGTTGTTATTTGTTGTTATTGTTGTTATTGTTATCATCGTTATCGTGAATTTTTTGTGAATTGTGGAGACTCAAATCGATAAGTTTCTATCGATCTAGAATCTGATGATGTCATGATTTCAGATGGATGACAGGGGTCTGTATAATTCTATGGGAGTTTTACTGTTTTTGGAAGAAATATCCAAACTTATGATCCACAAAGGTTGAATTTAGTTGTTTGTTTACTGGATTCACCAACTTTAATTTAACTTTATTGTCTTTGGCTCACAGTCACAGGAACACATCAGTCATTTCATCAAAGCTTAACAGTCAATAAATAGGTTAATATGTCAAAAATAGCAAAGGAGAAATTAAATTTGTGAACTGGACAAATGTTTATTTTGATCAAATATGTTTCACAGTTCATCCAAGCTGCTTCTTCAGTTCTGGTCAGATGCTGGTGGATACTGCCTTATATCTATTTGCCTGAAGGGAGGAGCTAACTACACTGAAACTACTCTGAAACTAACACACCTACTTATTTACAGTTTCTGCTTGTTAGCTCGGTCTATTGAACAGCACTAAGATGGGAAATCCGTGTATCATTCGTTCATTCGTTTTTCAATATAAAACCAAAAATAAGAAAACGAAAAAACAACAGTTTTCTTCGTTATTTGTCTCCAAAACCAAAATGAAAAAACGGATAATGATTCGTTTTTTCAGTTTTCGATTTTGTGTTTAAATGAAGAATGGAAAAAACGGATAACGGCCGTTTCCCGTTTACATGACTTCCGTGATTGCGATGCCGGACTTTTGCACCGCATACGGACTGAACTAGGACTGATCCAGGTCCGAGACCAGAGCGGGACCAGAGCGGAACTGAGACCGAGACCAGCGGTCCGAGCGGTTCCGTGTCATCGTCTCCGCGCTGGTTCCGTGCGGGGAAAGTGAGAATGTTCTGTGGACTACAGGTCCGGACAGGCTGCTCCAGAACTGCGGCTGGTTCCGAGGTGGTGCAAAGCATCCAACTGAGGCTTTCACACCAACGAAAACGAACCGAACTAAGAGCTTTTGGTTCAAATGGACCAGGTCCGGGATCAGACCGGGACCAGAGCGCTACTGAGACTGGGACCAGACCGGGACCAGAGCGGGCCTGAGACAGAGACAAGACCAGGACCAGACTGGGACCAGACCGGAGGCTCAGAGCCCACGGCAGGGCCGGAGCTCGAAGCTGAGGCTTGGACCCCGCGGAGGCTCAGAGTCAAAGCTTGGAGTCCGCCCCAGTCCTGCTCTGGTCCTGGTCTGGTCCCGCTCTGGTCCCGGTCTGGTCTCGGACCTGGATCAGTCCTAGTTCAGTCCGTACCCGGTGCAAAAGCTCGGCATCGCAGTCATGGAAGTCACGTAAACGGGAAATGGCCGTTATCCGTTTTTTCCATTCTTCATTTAAACACAAAATCGAAAACTGAAAAAACGAATCGTTATCCGTTTTTTCATTTTGGTTTTGGAGACAAATAACGAAGAAAACTGTTGTTTTTTCGTTTTCTTATTTTTGGTTTTATATTGAAAGACGAATGAACGAATGACACACGGATTATGGGACTATGCCTGAGTCATATTAGCAGAATCATTCAGGCCCCTGATGGGTACTTTCACTCACCAGGCTGGTGCCACCTAGTGCCTCTGCTCAATTTCATTTCTCTCCAGCGACTGGGTCAGGAATTGGAATATACAAGACGGTTTGCATAAACCCCAGAAGTGTGAGTTCGGGCACCAACCAATCAGTGAAGAGCCATATATTATGTGTTGTCAACAATTCCCGAGATTGAGGATTTAAAGCCGGAACAAAGAGAATGTTTGGTGAATTTTAACAAGGGGAAAGAAGTTATTGCCCTTCTTCCTACAGGATTTGGGAAAAGCTTAAAATACCAGTTAGCCCCGTTAGCAGCGCATTACATACGTCATGACCAAATAGCAGCAAATGGCTGAATGAAAAAAATAACCTGCCTATGAATCTTAATGCTGCAAGGTCAGACGGTTTCTAAAAGTGTAACAGGCTGATGAATCAGGCTATGCTTTCACACCTCTGAGCATACACTATTGTTTTTGTTTTGGTCTGAGGATGAAGTTGTAAATAAGTGATGTCTGAGCCCTCCATTGCTGTTCAAAGATGGATTGTCTTTTCTAACAAAAATAGCCTCTTTAACTCTCCTCTCAAACCATTTTAATATGTCAAAAAATGTTAAAATGGGGTTGTACCAGTTTTTTGTTAAGTAAATTATTGTTTGCCCTTGTACACTTGTGTACTGCATCTATTTAAAACCGATTTATTTTTTGTGAAACAGTAAGTGTGCAGTTAGCATGGTTGTGTTGGTTAACCTTACCTCTACAAACTGTTGAAAATCAACTAGCTCTGTTTAAGTTAAAATCAGTTATAGCCCCTTAAATTTTATATTTTGAAGTCCTTTCTACTTACAACTATTATGTCTTTAAGGATGAACAATGACACCACTTACTGAAGCTATTCTAAAAAAAAAAAAAGTCTTTAACTCTTGTCATTTATTTTGAGAGAAGACACTGAAATTCGTGCCAGTTTTTGTTTCATGTGAATAGGTCCAGTAATTACAGATATGAACCATAAACCAAATTACCAAAGTCACCAATTCTGCAATGTGACAGTTAAATAGAAAACTCTACCTGAGGATTCTGACCTGTCCTCCAGCTCAATATCAAACTATAAAGATTCTAGAATGCGATTGTGATTGTGAGTTTTGGTACCTGCAGCGCCTCCTGTGGGCTGTCATCGAGCAGTACATAGCGTCTCCTCTGCTTCTCTTTGCTGATGTAGTCAAACTGGAGTTCTACGACGGGGAGCTTCGCCGAGCCCTGAGACAAGAGAATGAAGGGGAGTTCAATTATGATCACAAACAAGGCTTAAGAATGACTTTAAATACAAGTTGTCTGACAAAATTTAAAACACTCCAAAGCTCCAAACCACGTGCAGAGGATTGTCTCCATTAAAACACCCAAGCTGCTCATTAAAGAGGGGTAAAAGGGCTCATTAGAGAGGTGGTTTTAACTGCTAACACATCACATATTTAGATCACCATGTTACCTTTTATTGTTTTGAAAAAGGCTCAATTTGCCGAAAAACAACGTCTTAACTTGTTCAATCAGTAACAATTTGGTTTTGTGAAGCTGTGAGCCGCCCTATTCAAAGCGTTATTACAAAGATGGATTCATTCCGCTAATGAAACTACACATTGCATCAGGTTTGTGAAGTTGTAGTATATTTTGTTGTCTCATGATTTTGTGCATTTCTGAAAATTGTTGTGTGGGTGAAGTGGGAGGAGCATTGCACATGATTGTACTTCTAAATGTAAGACAGGTTTGAATAGGGTCCAGGAGAGATCAGTAGATTACTAAACCATGAATGCATGATTCTAAATCTAAAACCAGTTCAGACATGTTTTTGATGAGGGAGCACTGTGATAACACTGTAGAAAGCTCAAAAATTGATTTTGCAGAATTCTCCCCCTTTAACACTGACAATTAGAAAACACTGAATCTTGATCATAAACAGCACAGCTCTAGTGCAAAAAATAAATAAATAAATAAAATCACCAACTCTGCATTTTAACACCCATAATGTACGGTTGTATAACACATCAAAGCACCTTTATGACACATTTCCAAACAGCTGTACAACAACCCAACTTAAAACTAATTTTTATCAGTTGGCTGGTTTTAGATTTTATTCCTTATTTATTTTTATTCTATATTATTCATTCATTTATTTATTATAATTAATTGAATTTGCATCATTGCCTGTTTTTGTATGCTTTCTAGATGCTATTTTTATTGTTTGTTATTGTTTATTAAGATTATTTATTATGATTATTATAACTTGTCTTGTCATTGCTCCCTTATTGCTGGGTTTCAGTTGACATCACAGCATTCTATAGCCCAATATTAATTAATACAGATGGGGGCAGCTAAAGTAAATGTTCTTAAAATACAAAATTATGTTAGAACAGAGTGAGATTTTGAGTTTAGTTATTAATTGAAAATACCAGGTTCAACATTAGTGAATTTACTTTTTGGAGATTTCATGGTGAAAAACAATGTGATCAACAGGGAGATCTGAGTATGACATCTTCACATTCTATAATCTGAAAACCACCAATAGATGTTTATGCTGATTCAAATCTCTTAAAATAGGTGAAAGTCAAAGTCAAATTACAGCTGCAATCTAACTGAAGAATTTGAATTGGCAAGATTAGCAAATTGTATAGACTGAAATTTAAAGGTTCACTGTGTACTTTTCTGATAAAGTTTACACCCTCTTTTGTTTTTTTTGTGGCATTTAACTTAAATTTCCACGGAGACAAGCAAGTGTTGCCACTGAGTAGAATTACAGGTCAGATTTGTGGAGTGGCACTGTATGAATGGTTCAATATACACAGAAGAATCCAACCATTAAAAATAAATTGCAGTCACAGTCTTATTAGATTTTTTCCCCAAACTAGTTCACACAATGGGACCTGGTATACAGTAGACAGTATATAGTCCATGTTTACCCGCTGTGTCCAGCTGGCCTCTGTTGTGTCCACTCTGGTGAGACTGTCCAGCTCCAGTCTGCACCTCTCCTGTCCTCTGTGCATGTCCACCTCCAGCAGCAGACCTTTTCTGAGACGCAGGAACACCTCTCCCCTCTGCCTCTTTCTCTCCTCCTCCTCCGCCTCCTCCTCCTCTCTCTCATCCTCCTCTTCATCGGCCAGAACACCCACAAGCAGGGGGTGGCACAGGTCCACTGCAAAGAAAGAAAGCAAAGTTTTTTTGGATTCTTTAAGATAAAAAATAACCAAACCAAAATTACTGATCATCAATTTTGATTTAAAGCATTTGTATTTATTGAAAAAAAAATAGATAAAGAACCATCCCAAAAACCATATATGTTCATTGATATTTTAAAATGCTGGTATAAAAACACATGAATACTTCTATCAAATGTAAGAAATTTGAAAAGATATAATATCATTTTTAAATGCCTCAAAAAGTTATATATGTAACTGTGGCTCTATGAATCCCCTTTGTACAAACACAAGGAACATTCAGTGGTTTCAGCTCCACCCTCTGGTGGCCAGGAAGGATGAAACTGATTAGTATTTTCAACATTTTACACTTAATTTGGTAAAAACAAAATGTCTACCTTTGATTTTGAGACACAGTTACACATGTTTCATTTGTATTGGATATTTTTTTTTTTTATTATTTATAAGATTAGATTGAAATACCTCCCAGGTCCTCCTCCTCCTCTTCCTCTCTGCCCCCTTCACTTCTGGCAGAACTTTTCCTACTTGACACCTCCTCCTTTGCTCCCTCCAGACTCTCCTCCACTGTGCCCTCTGACTGTCTCTGCAGTGTGGACTCTGTATCCACCTCCTCCTTCTCCTCCTCCTCTTCCTCTCCTCCTAGCACCATCTTCACCTCAGGAGAGCGCACAAATGACGGCACAGGATCTTCAGTTTCCAGGTGTGATAGAGGTGGTTTTATTTGAGCAGGGGAGGGTTGTGCTGCAGGTGAGGAGGAGCAGAAACCATTGGAGATGTTCTGATGGTCCACAGTAGCAGTGGTAGCAGTGGTGGTGGTCAGAGGAGGTCCTTGGTCCAAGTGGTGCTGGTAGCGGAGCCAGTCTTCTCCCAGCTGCTCTCTGAAGCTTGACATGCGCTCGATCTCCTCCTGGTGAGGGAGGACTATTTCTGAGGAAGAGAAGATGGAATTATAGATCAATTACAAAGTGCTTCAGTGGGTCCATCGAGTATCAGGTCAGGTGCTCTACAGGACAAAAAAAAGACAGCATCTTTTTATCCATGTTTGGCCTGAAGAAGGCCCTACACAGCCACATATAGACAAGTCCTGTTTAATAAAGGATTTTTAATGCCAACAGAGAGTCTCTGTTTTTTATTTAAACATGACATTATAGATCGGGGTGTCGACACTTGTTTTCATTGGGGGCTGTATATTGCTACATAGACCAAGGCCACAGTCAAGCGGGCCTTGTTTGGGCCTTTAAGCTTATATATTACTTGAGTAATATATTAATTGAAGTAAAAGTACTTGAGAAGAATTTTAGCAACTTTACCCACCTCTGTTGAGTTTAACTTAGGTGAGGTGGGTGAAGTGTCTTGCCCAAGGACAAAAACTAGTATAAATAGGCTAGAATGGGACTACCACTTGAGCCACTGTCCACCCCAGAGTATAATAATATGTATTATACTATAATTGAACTTTTAAAGAGTGGCTATTTTACTTCTATGAGGTATTAACTGACATAACATATTTAAATCACCATGTTACCTTTTATTGTTTTGAAAATGTTTTTTCACAGAAAACAATATATTAATATGTTTCATTAGTTTCAATTTCGTTTTTGTTGCTCCGAGTCCCCACTCCCTTTGCCCTCCTCCAAAGAGTTTTGTTCCCTGCTGGAAAGTGATGGTGTGGGAGGATGGGTGACGTAGGCTTGTGGGCTGAGCCTTGCACAGGCTTGTATAAAAATAATACCTATAAGCCCTCATATAAAAGATACACGCAAATACTGTTTAGAACTTACTTTGTGCTGGTACTGGTTTGGTCTCGTAGTCTGTGTCACTGGGCTCAGAGATGCTCGCTTTTCTCACTCTCACTTTACTCTGCCAAAAGTACGGTTGAAACAGAAACCATTTAGATTACAACCATTTAAAAGTACACTGATTTAAATAGAACTTCAGATCCATACCTTAGACTTCCTGAGCCTGCGCATGTTGGCTGCTGGCCCCTCCACCACAGACACACTGTCAGTGAGCTCTCCTGGACCACTGGAGCCCTCCTGACTACGCTCCACTGAGCCCACGGACGCTATGGACTGGCTCTGGACCAACAGACGACCAGACTTTGGCAACACCTGAACAACAAGCAGAGAAGGCACATGTTTGTTCTATTTTGATGATGTTTAAGTATTTGCACATTTTATTTATTTATTTTTATGAATGAAAATTACTATAGCATATGGAATAAAATATAAAACAAATGTAGAACACTTACTGATATCTCTGTTGAGGACAGCTTGACACCATCCAGCTTAAACTAGCAAAAATATATAATTAGAAGTTAATGAATGTAAAAGTGTATAAAATATGACATAAACATTACCCCTCTATGACCAATAAAAGAGCTATCCCTGATTTTGAACATGATTCAGAAAGAAATGTTAGTCCTTCTGCTTAGAATCTTCACTCCCTCTGATGCTGAACCATGTCAGAGACTCGACTGTCCGTCACAGGCAGTTGCTTCCATGTGGTTGTCATTTAGCAACATCTCTGATTGGATAAAACTGACTGTCCATGTAAGATGCTTCCTTGTGGTTCTCATCCAACAAAATGCCTCATAAAATCCAAATCAAAGTCTCATTTTGTTTTTCCATTTACAATAAACTAACACATTTCCTCAAACAAGAAACAAAGAAATCAAACACAGGCCTAAGTAAATATTCCAATGTACAGTGGCCTTGCTCACATGCACACTAAAATCTGTTTATAATCTGATTTCTGGAGCTTTTAAATGATTTAAACGACATGAAATCCACAAAATCTGAAGTGAGTGATCAGAGGGACCACGTTCAAAAAGAAATCAGATGACTTTGCCGTGTTCATGTTCTTTTCATAATCTTAAAGCTGCAAAAAATAAACAATTACTCTTGATTTTTAGCGCATGCCACTGTGGTACAATAGCATAACACGCTGTGTGAATAAAATCACAATAATTATACTCAAATCAAATTCAAATACTCACTCGAAGACTAGCAGCTTTGGGTGACATATGCCTCACAGTGCAGGTACGATGTGTCTTTTGGTAACACAGTGGATTCCCTTCTAGATTCAACTACAAAAACAAAAACGACATAAAGTACAAAATATATATATAAAAAAAATCATAACAAAAGGAGGACTGGTAGATTTTCTGGTAGATTGTGTAAGAATATTCCACAGTATGGCATAAATCTATCATAATGGAGAATCTAACTCTTTTCTTTTGACAACAGAATGTGATTTTCAACCTTAAATAGTACGAGTAGTAGTACTTTCTTTTCTATTTCCATGTAGCCTTATATGTGTGTAATTCCTCAGTGGTCCATAGTGGTCCATGGGTGTATACTAGTCTTTGTGCTCTTATACTTGTTCTGATACAGCTCTAGATCATTCTAAAACTATTCAGAAAAGGCTCATTTCTGTCCTGTGAACGTGATTTTTTTTAGTATCTATACCTGCTCAAACAAGTATCTAGTTTCGGTAGTAGATTTAGAATTGATTAGTTTCTGATTTGCGATACTTCTGAAAACCCAAACCTAGTGCCAGTAGACCAATTTACAAGCCAGACCAGTGGAGAGGCAATCCCGCTCACAGCAATGCAAGATTTTTGAGCAACTAAAACTGTTCCATTAAAACAAATGCTAAACAGATACGTTTAATCTTGTACTGCAGACCATTCCAAACAAAGGAGCCACATCTCCATGGAGACAAACGAGCGATGTAAGTTCTGCCAAAAAAAAATACATAGTACGCCTGTATATAAAGATACAAAACTGGTCTTAACTGTTTGTAGGCAGTGCAGCATAGAGAGCGGGGCTAGCTGAGCATGCTCCAATAGAAGGTTATAAGCCAAGTCTAAATGTTGTAAGGCCGACAACTGCTCCACGCCTATAAAAAAAAAAAAAAAAAAATATTAAAACCTCAACAACACCACAGACATATGCAAAAACAATACCACACCCAAGTACGTATAAATAAAAGTACTCTATTTTCAGATACTAAATGACTTGTGTTTAATTGTGGTGAGTGTAGTAACAAGAGCGAGTCTGTCTGTTACCGTTTATAGTCTCCAGTTGGTTATTTCGGAGGACGAGCGTGAGGAGTTTGGCCCTCGCGCTTAGGCCGAGCAATGGCGCCCTCTGGAGGCAGTTGTAGCCAAGGTTGAGGTGCTCCAGTTCACTCAAAGGCTAAAAACAAAACATTAAAAACAAACACTTAAGAAAAGATAAATATTTAAAAGGTGCGGTGTATAAATTTTCTTTTATTGGGGTCTGTCGAGTTCTTGTTTCTATGGATATGTCATTGCTGTCTGGAATGTTCCACAGTATGACTATGACATGGGGGGTTGTCTCTCTGTAACTTCGTCCGATTTGGTCTTGATGTCGACAGAAAGGTTTAATGCCGTACTGTGAAACATTCCAGATGACGCAATAGCATGTCCATGGAGAAAAGCATGTGACAGACCTTCCTTCGGAAAAGTTACACAATGCACCTTTAAAAAGATACTAGATTGTAGACAGAAAATGCGTTGCCATCTTACCTTGAGGAATTCAGCGCAGTCTTGGATCTTATTGTGACTCAAATCCAAGTATTTGAGGACATTTAGTAAACTCTAGACAAAATTTTACAGAAAAAGTACATAAATATTTTTGAATTATTGGAATCTACTAGTCAACTCATCATATTGTAGCTACACTTTTGAGTAATTAGCAGGGATGAGACGAGACGCAATTTTCACAAGACGAGATACGAGACTGGGTCCATGAGAACGAGACAAGACGAGATTTGAAAAGAATTCTTAATATATTGGAAGTTTTCGGATTCTAACCCACTAATAAATTTCACAATTCAGTTCCCAGTATTGGCCTCACAATTTCAGATTTATTTGATTTCACATTTTTGTTTCTGTTCTGCTTTTTGGAACTGTAAGATATGTAACTTGCCAACACATGACCCTTTATTTGTCTGATCCAAATGTAAACACTTGGGAAAAAACTCACAAGATCATTCTTCTCTTGTGCGCATGATCTTGTGGCAATTTTGTCTCACGAGATCTTGCCCCACCCCTAATAATTAGCACTGGTGACACGTAACTGACACTGTGTAAAAGGGCTAGCAAAATAGCAAATATTAAGCCTCAATGTACCCAAAGAATGAAGGATCGCTTAAACTTTCAATATTAATGCCCCACCAACCTCCAATCACACCATATTCTAGGACTGCAAGATTAATCACAATTGACACAAAATCACAATTTGAATGGACATAATTAACAAATAGCAAAGACTGCAGTTTTTAAAGTACCATCATTTCCTCTACAAACAATAAAATCTCCTGTGTTATTGTGCAGAAAAGCTGCTGACACTTTTACTCATTTAGATCTGTAGAAACATCCTCTGAAATTTGAGCACATATGCTAGTCTTTTTAAAGTTTTTCTGGCATGTTTATATTAAAGTATTTGCTACCTCAAAATGTCTTCTCTTTTTAAAAAGTTGTCCTTATCCTTCTCTTTTTAAATTAGTTTCATACAAACATCTCCTCAGAATTGGAAGTAAATGTAATGACGTAACAGTCTAAATACATAATTGTCTCACTAGTGACTGGTCAAGGCAGACGATAGGAGTTGTAGCTGAAGTTGAGTGTGTGCAGTTCCAGCCAGGGCAACGCTGAGCTCAGATCTCCTCCACATAAAGACAACAGCTCCTGGACAACATGGACAAGAAAAAGACAAATATTTTTAACTTAGCTTAACTAAACCAATACAATTAACAAAATAAGAAAGATAATGTTACCTCTAAAGAACTAACACTTTTGGAGCAGATGAATACTTCTAACTGAGAGTAGACTCCTCGAAGACCCTCAAGGCAATGTGGAGGGATTCGCTTGATCTAAATGAAAGGATGCAACAATATGGTTGACAAAGGACTACATACATTTAATGATATAAGGAAAGAAGCATGGTGTCTCACCTCTAAAATCTTTAAGGATTTGAAGGGGAAGATCTTTACCACAGACTGAAGTCTTGTATCTGGGGGGTTAATGATCTGTCAAACACAAAGGGAATCCATATTATTGATGTCTGAATCAAGAAACAAGCATTGAGTTTCTATAATCTTTAGGCTCCATCAATCTACAAAGATTATATCACACAATATATGAACACGGAGGTGACTACTAATGAGTTACATTTAAGGAGATACATTTACTCAAACATGTTTTTCAAAAGAAAAAGTATTTGAAAGTCCTAAACAAAGAATAGTATATACTCAGACCACATTTAAAGGCACCGTATACAACTTTCTGGAGGTGGAAAATCATCTGCATGATTCCTTGGAAAGAAAGATAAAACCATACTCCAGACTGTTTTCTATGAAGATAAGTGTTATGTCATACTGTGGAAGATTATATCCAGCAACATTTCCTCTAAACTAAATACGAGTCAGATTTGTGGAAATGCAAGCCTGCTCACAGTAATGTGAATGTTTCTCAAAGTTTTTCAGTGCACAATACAAATTTTAAATACAGTATATAAAATCAGTGTTTCCCATGAATACAGGAGATTATGGTAGCCCCCGTAGTCTAAAAAAAACTTGGCCGAGACTGGCATAACAAAATTAGACTTTATTGCTCATAGTATCATCATAAACTTGCTAATGATTCAATTTAGGCAGTAAGTGGCATTTATAAACACCAATTGAATTAGATTATATTATTCAAATACAAATCATTTGGGCCACCATAATCTTAACAAAATCAAAGGAAAACAAGCATAAAATTACATACTGTGGCTTTAAAGTGCATGCACTGACATGAAAATCTCAGAGTGTACTGCAAATTTACTTTTAGGCTTCTAAAATCTAATACTGAAAGATTACTAAATCAAAACTGGAACTGGAATGATCATTATTAACAACCTGAAAATATTCTGTCTAGAGAATAATATATTCAATCTCCATGAGATCTTACTATGTGTAAAAGCTGATAACCCTGTAGTTCAGACCTCTACAAACGTGTTCTGAAATGTCCCAGTGTGCCCCTCCTGTGCCTCCATGGGGTCTTTTTCTGTTCTTATTCTTATTCTGTAGCCCTCTGTTAACATGTTCTAAAAACGTATGGAATTTGTGGATTAGTTGGAAAGTTGATTTTCAGTTCTTTTCTCAAATGTTATTGCGTTGGTATCCATTTACTGTATATGCACTGTGAACCAACTAAGTCTTGCTTTGTGGTCACTGGAGGTTACAACACGGAGTACCTTAAGAGAGACTGTCTTTTGCAACACATCGAAGAGGAACTGCAGCTGGAGCAGGGAGGCAGTGTCTGCGGGGTGTGAGGGCAGGGCCAGGAAGCCGTGCTGCTGACTGCGGGACAATAGGTACTGCTCAAACAGACGGGTCAGCTGGCCAAGGGTGGGGGCCGGGAGGGTCAGGGTGCTGCTGCCGTCCAAAACCAAGTCACCTAGGACAAGACAAGGGCAACTGGACTTAGCATGGAAGCAAAGAGATCGGGGTGTGAATCTGGACTAAATCAGGACTAAACATGGAATACACAAGGACTAGACATTGACTACACAATGGCTCATTTGGGGCTAAATCAGGAATAAACAAGACCTAAATCTGGGTTTAACTAGCGCTAAACCAGGGCTAAACCGGGGACTAAATCAGGAGTAAACCAGGACAAAAGCACAACTAAATATGGATAAAACCAGGGATAAATTAAGACTAAATCAGGATTAATGCTGGACTAAACATGGACTAAACTAGGACTGAATCAGGACTAATCCAGTTATAAACTAGGACTAGATCAGGATTATGCAGGACTCAACATGGACTAAACAAGCACTAAAGCAGGACTAAATCAGGGCTAATCCGGGACTAATACAGGACTGAACATGGACCAATCCACGACAAACTCACGACTAATGCATGACTAAACATGAACTAAACTAGGACAAAATCAGGACTAAACAAAGAATAACTCAGGACTAAACAAAGACTAAATCAGGACTAAACTTGAACAAAATCAGGACTAATTCAGGACTAAAATAGGACTACATTTGAGAATAAATCAGAACATGTCAAAAATGTACTTACTATTTAATTACTTTTAACACTGACAAAGAGGTTTTAAAAATATATTGTGTTTACATTATCATACTGGATTTTTCTGTATCCATCATTCACCATTCATATCCTAATCAGATGATATTTTGCAGTAATCACAGGTTATTGAAAGTCATACAACTATAAAATCATGTGTTTAGCTGTTTAAAACATGACGAAGCAAACTAGTGTTGACAGCTCATTCATGTAATACAGAATTTGTAATAGTGTGGTTGACCAGGAATAGGAAGTGGAGGACTACAAATCATTCTAACTGCAGCTGAAAGAAAAACCAAGTTCACTTTATATTAAAATACCCACAAAGGACTCATGAGGGGGAACCACAAGAAGTCTGTTAATGTATACTTTCAGATCTGTAGCTTAAAAAAAAAAAAAAAAAAACACATATGAAAGTGGGCTGGGTTTGGGTTACCATCATTTCGAAGGAGCTTGGCCAAACTATGAACAAGAGGAGACTGTCCTGCTTGAGACACCGCCATCCTGCAACGACAACAAGCAAATAACAAATAAATACTACGCAACACATGCAATCCGACACTTGTTTCACTTTTAATTTAATATGGGCTAAAGCTAACCAACTCATCATGCTAGCCTGTCAAAGCCTTCTTAACCACGTACCTGCGCGGTGACAATCCCGATTTAAACGTCTAACATCAATATTCCAGTCTAAGAAAGCATTTAACACATGTATTTTGGATAAATAGTCATAAAAAGCAGAGAGGTCGTGGTAATCTTGTAATAATTGGGCACAGCGCAGCGCACGGCAATGTTGACATTTTTATAACCACGTGACACGAGCGGGTTGAGCGCTGTACGGTGGCTCTTGGGTGTCAAAAGAAAACTTCGTGAGATAGGTAAAATATTCAAGTGTAACTTAAAAAATGTTTGAAATTTATTGGTTTAATATCTCACAACTAAGAAATTGTTTATTTTTGCGTAATTTTCTATGTTTCTAGATGTTTTAGTGCAGTAATTAAACTGACCTAAACCGGAGTTGATTATGTAAACACTAGATGGCGCCAGACATCGGCGGTATTGTCCTATACATTAAGCTGTACTTTTTACTGCAAGTTTTTGAAAATCTACCTTGATAAAACCACTGTTAAAGGTTGAATGTGTCCTGTTGAGGATTTAAACATAAATAAAGGTCCGGTGGCTCAGTCTAACCTGTTATAAAACATGGAAGCAATCATATTGGGGTGTGAATCTGGACTAAATCAGGACTAAACAGGGAATATATTAGTACTACACAAGGACTCAACTACAGATAAATCAGGACTAAACAAGACCTAAATATGGGTTTAACTAGCACTAATCCAGGACTATCCCAAGACTAAACATGGACCAAACTAGCAACATGGACTAATGCAGCAACAGGACTAAATATTAATAAAATATGGCTAAGTTAGGACTAAACAAAGACTAAATCAGGACTAAAATTGAACCAAATCAGGACTAAACTAGAATTTAATTAGGACTAAAATAGGACTACATTTGGGAATAAATCAGAAGATGTCAAAAATAATATTTAAAAATGTATTGTCTTCATATTTTCAAATTGGATTTTTTGGTATTTATCATTATTAATAAAAGCACATGTGAACAAGCCATTTGCTTTATTTTATCTAAGAGTTAAATAATATTTTAACAGAAATATATAATATATTCCAAGCACACTGCATTGCTAAAGATCCATGCGTGTTATTTAAAGACCTATTACCTAAAGTATATTACAATGTTTTATAAGAAGATTCTTACACAGCCTAGCTCATATATGGATACTCTAAACCCAAATGGTTCAGGCGTTTTGGTACGGGAGCACTGAGGTATGATGAAAACTACACCCTTACGGTAATCTACTGTATATTAACAGACATACCTTTGGCAGCCATGTTGTGACTGTAATATTCTGTTTAAGAATTCATGCAAACTGGTAGCAACAACCGTCTTTTAAAAACGTGAACCTAATAGCCTACGATTTTAATTAGTATATGTAAATAAACAAAAATAATTATGCATAGTTGTATGGAAATGCAAATATGTCTTCTGTAATTCAGTATAAAATATAGCACCAGTGATGAGTGAAGGCCTATTAACAGGGAGACTGTGTACTCAATTTAATACCCGTGTAGTAGTTGTAGTAGTAGTCTTAGTAGTACTAGTAGTGTCTGAAAAGGCAAGTCCAGCCAGGTGAAATGTACAGAGAAGAACTGTACACAAGTTAAAATGTGCATAGTAGAAGTAGGGAAAGTAGTAGTAGCTGTAATAGTAATAGTAGTAGCAATAATAGTAGTAGTAGTAGTAGTAGTAGTAGTAGTAGTAGTAGTAGTGTCAAAGCAGAGTGCAAAGTGCAGTTTGGTGAAGTAACATGGTAAAATGCACAGAAAAGAGGCTGTGTTTTCAAGTTAATAAGAAGTAATCGTAGTAGTGTCAAAGTTGTAAACATACCACATTAAAATTGGACTAGAACAGGACTAAATCAGTACTAGAACAGGCCCATTCCTATACATCAAGTCTACTCTGGGTTCAAACCAGGATCAAACCAGGACAAGGTGAACCTGGGAGTCTTTATAAAGATTTCACTCAGATGAGGAAAGCTAAATATTTCTTGTAATAGACTGTTTTCGTGCTGTGGTGTATGGACCTTGTCACTGTATTTAACTTGTAGGATTGTTTACATCGGAAGCTATATCTAAACTGAAGTGTGGAACTGTTTTATGTACTTCTACTCTATTTGCTCTAGCTTCTTTTTTTCATTAACTTCAAGTGTTTTTAAAGGGCCCATATTATGCTGTTTTCTGATCTGTGTGCTCATGTTGTTTCCTCATCACAGACAGACCTGGAGCTGTGTTTTGTTTCATTCACATGTTTAACTCAGAAACTCTGCATATTTAGATTGAGTTTGTCCCTAAAACTGAAAAAAACTGTTCCCTTTTCCACCTTGTGATGTCATGTGGTGATCCAGGAAGTGCTCCACTGTGTTTTTAAACTCAACGCACCTTCACTTGACGCATTTGGATGATTTCGGCCCTGGAATTGACAATCTCTACTGAACTAAAGGTAAAAAGAGTTGTTAACTTGAAAACTACTCCTTCATGACATCACAAGGTGTAACAGAGCATGTGGAGCTTTGGAGATGTAGATGTGTACTCAGACATGTGTGAATGAAACAAAACACAACTCTAGGTCTGTTTTTGAGGGGGTAACAGCACTATAACATGACTTAAAGTTCACAAGAGTTAATTTTGGGTAATATAAGATCTTTAATATATAGACAGTGAATGAGCCTACCATAAGCTTTCATTTGCCCTAAAAATGTTATTTGTACACTCTTTTTTTTTTATCAGTTTACCAGTATTGATTACCAGTTATCAATATATTTAGCCACATTTTTATAGCCTACATGCATGAATCAGTTGGGTAACACTTTATAATCATTGAATTAACCTTAATAAAAAATAAATAATAAAAGACCGAAATCATAATGAACAAAGAGTTTAGAAAGAATGATTCAGGCTAAGTACCTAAATACCTTAACTTGTAACTCTAACCTCCTCAAAAACAGACCTGGAGTTGTGTTTTGTTCATTCACACATGTTTCTGCTTACAAAATGCTCTATTCCACCTTGTGATGTCATGAAGTGGTATTTTTCAAGTTAACAGCTACTTATTTTTCCCTTTAGTTCAGTAGAGATTGGCAATTCCTGGACTGAAATCATCCAAATGATTCTAGTGAAAGTGTATGGAGTTTAAAAACACAGTGGAGCATTTCCTGTATCACCACATGACACATGATCACAAGGTGGAACAGCGCATTTTCTTTTTGAGAGAAGAACTCAGCCTAAATACGCAGGGTTTATGCATTAGTTAAACATGCGTGAATGAAATAAAACACAACTCCAGGTTTGTTTATGACGAGGAAAATACATTATAACCCTTTAATTAGCCTAGTCGCTAACCTTGAATCATTTTTAATAAACCATTTCTTCATTATGTGTTCATGCTTTATTAAGACTCATTTCGGTGTAGTATTTTACAACCTAGTAAGTACCATTTGTTGAAAGTATAATTAACCCTTGCGTTACGTACCATTACTATAACCACTGCCACATGTTAGCGACTTTTGGCTAATCTATAAATAGGAACACAGAACAGCTTGTATGCTAGCTAAAGGCCTACACCGCTGTAACCGATGAGATGATGTCGCTCTATGGAAATGTTTACCAAACTGCCGTACATAAGACCCAACACGGAGAGCCCAACAGCGGGGCCACTGGAAAATACTTATATGTGTGTTTGTTTACTGCCTAGCAACAAGTGATGCACGGCCCGTATTGGGAAGGTTTTATTTGCCCTTGCTAATCTCCGCTGAGTGTAATGGACTGGGGTTTTTTCCAATAAATAAATGAAAACATATCCAACGCACGGGAATTATTTTGGGTGATAAGGTTACAGGAGGCAAATGAGGCATGGAAGTTGGTAGCTTTACTATAGGCCTATTATATTTGCTATGTATCATTAAGCGCGTATACATGCCCTCGAGTATCTTGGGTCTGATCGAATTTTTGTGTGTCCATAAAATCAGTATCGTGATGTCAGTATCCCGGTGATGAGAAACCTGGATACTCTCACTGGGTTTTTCTGATAGTATTCAGGAAACTGTTGCATGTAAACACAGTACCCTGATTTCTCAAAACTCGAGTTGTAATGAGGATGTGTGAACTCAAATAACAAAAACGGTTGGAGCAATTAGTTTCCCAAAAAGTCTCAAACTCCTACCAGGACTTTTGAAGTAATAATATTCCACACCTCCAACAAATAAAGCAGTGTACTCTTTAATATAACCACATTTTAACTTCTGTGACTTCTTCTGTGAACTTGAACTAAACTGAGGTTGCGTCATATTGTTCATATGTTAATAAGTGCTCCATAGTGTCATGTTCTTATTTGAATGTGTATTTTTTGTTGTTAAAACATGCTAAGCCTCATTAAGTTAGCAAAGTTGCTACTTGTTTAACTCATAGACTATATATATAAATGGACATGGCTAATGCACTAGCCGCCGTGTTCCATATAGGAAGTTTACATGTGGGCTCTTCCGGCTCCATCGACTCCAGCTCCCATTGACTTACACTGGGATATTGTGGCCCCTCTCTCTGTAGCTGCTGCTGCTGTGAGCCTCGTCATTTTGATCTTGAAATGTTCGTATGAATCCGTTGTGTGAAGAATCCCTCAGTCGTTCAGGTAGAATCCATGGCGAGGAGAAAATTCAGTTTGTCAACTGGACAAAAGTTAGTTTGGTTGAAGAGGTTTCGCAGCTCATCCAAGCTGCTTCTTCAGTTGAACACCAGGATGTATGAATCCGTTCTACATGATCCTGGTGTTTTTTTGTTGTTTTTTTTCGCTGTTTTTTTCAGTAAAAAAAATTCTTTTCAGAGCCTGGGTCACCAGTATAACAGTTAGCATCGTGAGCTTCGTTTGACTGGAGCTGAACACTGTGGGTGACGTCACACTCCCTTAGAACACTTCTTTATACAGTCTATGGTTTAGCATTGGGGTAGGGGTAGTGTGGCCCTATTCCACACAAGCCACTAGGATGCAAATTTTAGCTTAAATATTCCTGCAGTGTAGCATGAGCAGTGAACACAGTCAAAAGACTGTTCATCATCAATTTGCAACACCTGGTATTGGTAATTAGAGGTCTTAAATAGGTAACAACCTACAGAAAACAAACACACAGTGCCACACAGTGGCCGGAGGTGCACTGTGGCCACTACAAGCTCCTTGCCATATCTACAGACTAGGAGCGTTTAGAGACAAATGTGGGCGGGTCCAATAAGGTGAATTCAGGGAGATGAGTATCCTGGTGTCTCTGAGCGCATTTAAACACCATATTCAGAATAATGTCATAACCAGTATAAGGACCTGGGATACTCGTGTGCATGTAAACTCACTTATTGTGTTATGAAGTTTAGCTTAGCAGTTTGTCTTGGCCAGGAGGAGTATCTAGCTGGAGGAATAGCCTATTGTGAATATTATAGGTTGATGAAGGAAGCCAGTGTACCTATCTATGGGTTTCAGCTCCCTGTGATATGCTGCCAATTTGAGGACGGTTGACCATTCACAAGATACAATTCCCATAACAACAGTCCTAACTTTTCATCTTTCTGAAACCCATGGACAGTGGCGGAATGCAACAAGGTAAATTTTAGGTGTCTGTACTTTACTTAGTACATTTTTACAGTAGATTAGATTTAATTAGACCTCAGAAACAGTGCAAAATAGCCTGCTTTTACTTTTTTTGTATTCAAGTACATTTTAAACAGGTAGTTATATGTTTCAGATGATAATTTTACTTTAACTTCAGTACTTTTTTTTTGCTCCACAACTGAGTACTTCTTCCATCACTGTGCATCGGTATATGAACCTAATCCGGGCGAACGTATCCAATAACTGCATATAGAAATGATTAAAAGAACTGCATGTATCCTGTTCTCTTACAGTTAAAAAAAAAGTTACATGCACAACTGAACCTGGGTTGCAAGTGCCATAACCTGTGCGTGATGTTAACTGGAAGGACTGCTCTTCTTGGCGTTTTGCTGCTCAAGTTAAAGTTTTTGTTTTAACACAGTCTGACAAGAAAGAACTGACTTGTGCTTTCACTCACACATTTTTGTTGAAAATCTGTGCTAAAATGTGTTGCTTAAATCCATTTTGTATTTTATTTAGTTTAGTTTCCAAACAATTTTAAAACTCTTTTTGTGTTGGCTAATGTGTGCATTATGTCACTATGCTCACTTCTGAACATAGACATACATGTAGAACCATCCCAGCCTGATGTTTCTTCAAAGTATCAATAAAGGACACCTTATACCAAGTTTTTCTGATTCTCAGCCTTTTCTCTGTACACACTACTGCCTGCTATGATACTGCTACTACTACTACTACCACTACTACTGCCTGATGCTTTTACTACTACTATTACAACTACTACTACTATTACTAACCACTACTATTACTACACACATATTAAGTAGAGTACACAGCCTCTTCTTGCTGCTTCTTGACACTACTACAGCCAGCACCGCCACTACTACTACTACTACTACTACTATGACTACAACTAATACACATACATTAACTTGAGCACACTTCTCTGTAAATTCTGGTGTGCTGCGTCTTGACACTACTACTACCACCACTTACCTCACTACTGCTGCTACTACTACTACTACTACTACTGCACAAATATTAAGCAGAGTACACAGCCTCTTCTCTGTACATCCCAAGATGCTGTTCCTGCCTTCTCTGCCTCTACTAGTCACTACTACTACTACTACACACTTATTAAGAGAGTACACACAGCCTCTTCTTTGTAAATTCCAGTGTGCTGCTTCTTGACACTACTACTACTTCTACAACTTCTCCTACTGCTACCTCTCCTACTACTACTTTCCCCACTACTACTACTACTACATACACATTACATAAAGTACATAGCCTCTTCTCTGTACATTCTGGCGTGATGCTCTTGAATGTTCTGACAGTACTAATACTACCACCTCTACTACTACGACTAATACTATGACTACTACTGCTACAGCTGCTACTGCTACTTCTTGACACTACTACTACTCCTACTCCCTACTACTTTCCCCACTACTACTACTGCACACATTTTAAGTAGAGTACACAGCCTCTTCTCTGTACATCTCAAGGTGCTGTTCCTGCCTTCTCTAACTCTACTAGTCACTACTACTACTACCTGTTACTATTACTACTACAATTACAACTACCACTACTACTGCTTTCCACTACTACTACTACTACTACTACTACTACTACTACTACTACTACTACTACTACAACACAGATATTAAGTTGAATACATAGCTTCTACTCTGTACATTCCATCGTGCTGCTCCACTCTGACACTACTAGTGACTGACTACTAGTATCTACTACTTCTACTACTTCCATGACCTCTACTACTACTACTACATACATATTAAGCAGAGTACACAGCCTCTTCTTTGTAAATTACAGTGTATTGCTTCTTGACACAACTACTACCACCACTGCCATTACTACTACTACTACTACTACTACTACTACTACTACTACTACTACTACTACTACTACTACTACTACATACATATTAAGTAAAGTACACAGCCTCTTCCCTGTACATTGTGGTGTGCTGCTCCTGACTGTTCTGACACTACTACTACCACCACCACCTATTACTAAGACTAATACTACTACTACTTAACACATATTAACTTGAGTACACAGCCTCTTCTCTTCTTCTGTACATCCCAAGATGGTTTTCCTGACTTCTCTGACTCAACTAGTCACTACGACAACTACTACCGGTTACTATTACTACTACTATTACAGCTACCACTACTACTGCTTTCCCCATTACTACTACAACTACTACTACACAAATATTAAGATGAGTACATAGCTTCTTCTCTGTATATTCCATCGTGCTGCTCCAACCCACTCTGACACTACTAGTGACTAACTACTAGTAACTACTACTTCTACTACTTCTATGACCTCTACTACTACTACTACATACATATTAAGTAGAGTACACAGCCTCTTCTCTGTACATTCCCCTGGCTGCTCCAGCCCGCTCCGTCATGGCGTCCCTCCAGCCTGTCTGTTGACTCTACAATTCCGCTGGGACAAATTTTAAGTTCCCGGCCTTGGTTTGGTGCCTATGACCCTGGTAGAATTCTGCGGCTCCCGTCCCCTGACCCCCTAGCCCCCCTACCCCCCAAAAACTCCTCATTTTCGGACAACTTTAGCCACGCGCCGCTCCCTCTCCTCCATCTACGGTTTGAAAATGACACATGAGGTTATCCAAGAGCCACAAAGCAAAATAAAGACGATATTCCGGTATTAGGTTTCAGTTATTCCGAGCGTGGTAAAGATAGCTTAGTCTGCTCCATTGGATGTACTTAATAGGAGCTTGTTTGTGACAGTTGAAGGTCTGGTTTGGTCTATCGATTGAAAACAGAGGGAGAGCTGTACGGCGAGAGGGGGACTTCAAGTTGTGAGTAAACCTGATGTTTGCTCCTTGGCCTGCATCTGCTGAAAGACATAAACAAGGTGAAATGTAATACGGGGAATCCATCCGCAAGTATGCCCAAAATAAAGATAAGGTGGAATACTGTAGCCGGCCGTACACGGGTCAGGAGCAAACCCATAATGCAGACAGTTGTAGAGGGACACTGGTGAAACAGACTATTTCATGACTTTTTTAAATAAAAATTGCCCAAACAATAGAACAGGCCAATACAAAACTTGTCTGTGTTTGTGCTGCTCGTCCAGGTGTTCCTCTTTGATGTAAAAAGGAGACACTGATATTATCGCTTGCAGCAGACAATCTATGGGGCTTGAAGATTATCACAGAGATAATCTTCAAGTCCCATCAGTAGCAGAAGTGGCAGAGGTGTTCCACAGGGGTCAGTGTGTGGCCCCAGGATAGTCGTAAAACTCCAGACAGCAGCATGATCAGATTACCTGTTAGAGCCTGTGAGAACATCCGCACTAACAAGTAGGGCTGGGGTCAAATGTATAACACATACTGGTATAAAGTTATAAACTGGTATAGCTGTGTAAATCTACATAAAGATCAAGTCCAAAGTCAAGTCCATCTTCCCTTCGGCTGCTTTACAGCTCTTTGAGAGAATGTGTCTGTGGCCCCAGCAGGCTCAGTCCCTCTGGGGCTACTGTAAGCTCGGCTCTAGTGATCCCTCACTTCTGCTGCCTGGCTCAGCTAATCTCTCATCGTCCAGTGTGCCTCGAACCCGGGAACCTGTAGGACCCAGCAGCCCCCTCCTCTTCACCTGTTCTCTCTGGGGTCGCTCCATCCGCCGCTGAGACCGACCCACACCCTCCTCACAAGCCGTAACCATGCTCTGGTCTGCGGGCTGCAGCGTGCTCGTTCTGTCCGCCGTCTTCTCCGGGGTCTCCGGGGCCGACATGGTGTTCCGTTGCCCGGGCTGCACGGCCGAGCGCCAGGCGCTGTGTCCCCGGCTCACGGAGAGCTGCGCGGAGATCGTCCGGGAGCCGGGCTGCGGCTGCTGCCCCGTGTGCGCGCGTCAGGAGGGCCACACGTGCGGGGTGTACACGCCGAGGTGTGCCACTGGACTGCGGTGCTACCCCACGCCCGGGGCCGAGCTGCCGCTGGAGCAACTGGTGCAAGGCATGGGCCAGTGCCGGCGCCGAGTGGAGCAGGAGGTGACCACGCTCAGCAGCGAGCCCCAGCAGCAGCAGCACACCAGCGGTCAGTGCACTCTCCTGCCCGCGCCGGGGTGGAACACGGGGCTGCAGGGTTTAGAACAGATCCAACCCGGGTCTAGCGTTGCCCTCATAGTCCCACTTCACCCCTGTAGGCCTGTTGAGTGGGAAAGGGTCTTTGTACCATGCATGGGCGGCTCTTTGATCTGCAAATGATACTATGGTTTTATCTGTTTTCTGGCTCTGTTTGTGCAGTAGACTATCACTGGACTCAGCATGGATGAGTTAGACTTGTTATTCTGTTTAGTCCTGGTATAGTCCTGGTTTAGTCCTGGTATAGTCCTGGTTTAGTCCTGGTCTAGTCCTGGTATAGACCTGGTTTAGTCCTGGTCTAGTCCTGCTTTGGTCCTGGTATAGCCCTGGCTTAGTCCTGGTTTAGTCCTGATTTATACCAAGTTTAGTCCTGGTCCTTGTATAGTCCTTGTTTAGCCCTAGAGTATAGTCCTGGTTTTGTCCTGATTTAGTCTTAGTTTAGTCCTGGTTTAGTCCTGGTTTACTTCTGGTTTGGTCCAGTCCTTCCCAGTGGTCAGTGAGTGTTGTATTTTTAATGAAGTGTCTAGACTGCAGCCGCTGATGTCCGGGCTGTAGTCTCCATCACTCTTCCTCTGTCATAACATGGACTCTTCTTACTCCTGTGTAATCAGATTTCAATATCACACTCACACTCTGGGCCCATTCACATCCCACACACCACCACACTTTACATCATTGATTACACACAATTATAGCCTATCCATACAATGAAATTGGATCTGAAAATATTTGCATTTGAAAGCTAAAGTGTACAATATCCTGGTTTATTCCTGGTTTGATCCTGGTGTAGAGCTGGTTTAGTCCTGGTATAGTTCTGGTTTAATTCTGGCTTGGTCCTGGTTTTGTCATGGTTTGGTCCTAGTTTAGTACTGGTATAGTCCTGGTTTAGTCTAATTTGGTGTACTTTATTCAAATTTGCTGGTCATTACTGCATCTTTTATATTTTTGTAATATTTTCAGACATTGTGACGATTGATTAGTCCTTTGGCTTTTACGTTTTAGAAATTTAACTATGACAATGAGCTATAAACATTATTATGTCATCTAATATAGCATTATAAATCTATACTTGGCCATGTTATTACCAGAAATATGCTGTAAAACATTCAGTCATTGGTAGCCTACACACATATATGCTATACAAAACACACAAGAACATATCCAATGCAGTGAAATTTTTAAAAATTAAAAACATTATTTGGCTGTAATTTTTACATTTATACTATACAAATTCTTCAGCCTTCATTAGCATTATCCAAACATGAACACAAGTAATCACCATCGCATCAAATGTCAGAGCAGAGTTTCGCCCCACTAAAGCTAACGGCAACTAGCATGTTAACGTGCACTTCCTGATTATCAGAGAGTAAAGTCTTTCTGAATAGATTTTCTTTTTCTTTCAAAAATTATTGCAATTAGTTCGTGAACAATTTTTACAACTTTTAGATGTCGGAGCAGAGTTTTGCCTTATACTAAAGCTAACAACAACTAGCATGCTAACAGCACTTCCTGATTATCGGAAAATAAACTCTCTGTAAAGAGATTTTCTTTTTCTTTCAAAAATGATCATGATGAGTTTATGAGCGCTTTTCACAGTTTTTAGACGTCGGAGAGGAGTTTTGCCCTGCTAAAGATAAAAACTAGCATGCAATTGCACACATAATTATCGGTTACCGATCCATCTTTTTCACATTTGACCTCAGGAGGTCTTTACACAATACAATAAGTACTCAGGTAAGAAACTTAGGAAAGAAATCAGATACAGGGTCTTAATGGTATTGAAGATGTTTACAATATGTGCAACTACTCCTACTACTACTACTACTACACATATATTAACTCATCCTCTCTTCATACATTCCACCATGCTGCACCTGCCCTTTCTGATACTACTACTACTATTACTACTAATACCACTACTACTTCTTTCCCCACTACTACCACTACTAGACACATATTAAGTAGTACAAAGCCTCTTCTTTCACTACTTCTATTACTTTTGTTAAACATGTATATTTCCAAACTTTAAACTTTAAATTTCGATTCTATTCTGTTCTATTCTCTTCATATGCTGTGAACTTGGCTCTTCCATGCTGGCTGCTGTTTTGGGCGGTGTTCAAAGGAGAGGCTGGTGACCTCCGGGATTCCCAGGAGTGGAGCTCTGTCAGTGGGAAGGCGCTGGTGGAAAACACGGGCTGTTTGCTCAGAGGAGTGGAGCACAGGCGGTCGGGGGCAGGAATGCATTGATCCTGACTGCACTTTAGCATGGGAGCCACTTACCAAACGTGTAGATCTATACATGCGTCGGATCTGTTCTGCTAATTGTGCATTTTCGGAACTGACTTGACGTAAGTGAAGCGATTGTGAAAATGGAAGTGGACACAAAAGAGCTGCACACTGCAAAAAGCCTTATCTAACTTATAACTCTTCTGGTGGAGGGTCTGTCACCTGTTTGTTTCTATGGAGATGTCATTGTTCTGCCTTGATCTTGATGAAGACCAAACCAGACCCAAGTTACAGGTCAGATCTGTGGAAAGGTGACCCCGCTCACAGTCATAATTCTTGTTTTTCAAGGTATTTTTTAGCTATATAACAACCACTAACTGAATAAATGTAAGGTACAGCTGTTTAATGCTATACTGTTGAACATCCCCGACAAAGCAATGACATCTCCACGAAGAAAAGCATTTGACGGATCCTCCACAAGAAAAGTTACACAATGCACCTTTAAATTAAGAACATTTCACTTTATTTGAGTCGACTCAACGTGACAAGCAAAATGGTCTACTAGTGGAATAAGTGTACTTTCTTAATTCAAGCAACATTCAATTTTGTTTCTTATTTTCAGGTCAAAGAGTTATTGTTTTTTCCTTATCTAAGTGTAGCAAGATGTATTTTCATATTTTAAGAACAAAAAGTCTCGGTCCACTGGTAGGTCATTTTACTTGTCAACTGAAATTTACTCAAATCAAGATAAAACTTTCTTAGTCCAAGTAATCTTAACTTGGCTAGATTTGAGTTTTTTCAGTGTAAGATCTGTTGATGTAATCTGGTTAGGCAATATTATTATGTAAATACAGTACGTGAGCCTGTAGAGCCCATTTTTCTCTGTTAACTTTAAGAATTAATAATTCAACTTTAAGAAAATGTTCATTATTAAAGACGCTGTACCTGATTGTTACTGTCTGAAAAACTTGAAAAACAGAACTAGTCAATTTTAAACAATTTGCAGTGGTCCAAATTTATTCCTCAGTTACCTTAGGCATTCAGAGCATCTTAGTTATTCACCATGATGACTTATTAAGCACTTTTCACAACTTTCAGAGACCAACAACAACTACCATGTTAACACACACTTCCTGATCATCATACAATAAAACCCTCCATTAGATTTAGATGCAGACAGTACACAGCGGACTTATTTTGACCTCAAGAGCTGTTTACACAATATATCTGTACTGGAGCAAGACACATTTTGCTCAAATACATGAGAAAAAAATGTGCACAGGCCAATATGCATGCTAACGTGCACTTCCTGATTATCACACAATAAAATATTTTATTAGAATTCGATGCAAACAGTACAGAGCAGACTTATTTTGACCTCAAGAGCTGCTTATTTAATATATCTGTTAGGGATGCACCAGTACAATATTGGTATTAGATACTGGCACGATACTGGTAGATCGGATATCGGTTCTGTCGATATCGGTTCAGTCCATGTCCCATTTAGTCTATAAATCAACTATGAAAATGGTATTTTTACAAAGCTGTTTTGTAATTACTTTGAATGTCAACAGTTACAAAACAAAGGAAATTATTGATCATATTTTCACTCTCTGCACTGGTTGATATCAGGTATCGACAGATGCATAAAGCCAAAGTATCCACATTGGAACAAAAAGCAAATACATGGGAAAGGGGTACAGGCCCTTTAAGAGTTTAATGGCATGATGAACTTCGCAGTTTATTGAGAAGTTGGGAAAAAAAAAGAAAAAAAAGTTGTTTAGCTTGTCATCCGGAGTCTGATTCTGGAGATAACTAACTAACTTCAGACTCTCAAAGTTGTCCCCCTGGCTTATAGTAACACATTGAGAGCTCATAATTTTAATGTTATAATCGTGAATAGGCCCATAATATAAAACATACTTGAAAACAGAACGATTATTACAGTATTGCGAAATGAATCTTGTGCATGTTCCACTAGCCATTAAGCTAATCTCCTCGATGCTGTTTCAGATGGTTGCTATCAGTCCCCTGCTTTCATTTGGCTCACAGTTTGTTGCTGATTTCCGGCAATAAAACTCACTACGAAACAAAATGGAGGTCATAAAATGAGTTCACAAGGCGTTTTAATCCACTCAAAACTCACAAAATTATGTTAAAAGTGTTAAAGAGATTAGTAAATGCATCTGACACCTTGGGCACGGAATGGAACCAGAAAACAGATCTTTACATGTAATTGTTAGCATATAGCGCTAATCCCAAGCTATGTTATGTGCTAACAGTAAAGCACGTAGCCTTGTTATGTTGTTGCCAAAACTAGTGAGCTACAACACACAAGAAGAAAGTGTGTGTCAAAGGATTTTTTAAAACATTTGCACAATATATTTCATGGCCTTATCTTGCTAAACAGAAAAATCAAAGTAAGTTGAGTTTTGGAATGGTTAACCTATAATCTAGAAAAGGTCAAAGTGATGCATATTTTTGCAGCACACCAAAAAAGCAATAGTTTTTGTCCAAATGGAAATTTAATTTTAATTTAATTTTATTTATATTACAAAACATGAAATTTAATTAAAATTTGTCAAATAAAAGTTCATATTACTTTTTGGGTCATTTAAACTGGAAGCACTTTAAAACAGTAAATCTTTGTTTTCACCTTGGTAACAGGCCCACATGATGACTAGTTGGCTGTTGTGGATAAAGTACAATTGTCTTACCTAAGGTACT